GTCTAGGAGTCTCCCCTGGTTCAAAACCATCTTTAGAGGTCCTAGCACGCCATTTCTCGACCCGCTCTTTCGTTTGAGCACACTTAATTAGTTGATTATTCCTTGGCCTGTTCTTCGAATTTTCAGTATCTTCAGAGTCGGCCCGGGGTATTGTCTATTAACTGCCAACACGGGCCCCTCGAGTACCTGGGAAACAAAGCACACGCCTGTGCATTGGATCAAATTCGCAATTTGCGGGGAGAAAGAACGGCCAAACAATCTCTGGCAGTGAACTTCGTGGACTGTGCACTGGGCAGAAGAGATCCAGCGACAGCAGCGAGACAGGTATAGATCAATCAATTCGCGATTCCTTTCCGATCACTAATCAAAAAAGCAATCATCAGGTTTATAATTCCTACGATTTATTCCAGTGCGCTGCGACACTGGGATTAAATTCCATCGATCATTGCTTGACATCAGAGATTGGAGACAATCTTCTAGCCGCCTGTGGTTATCAAACGCGATGTCTAAATCCACCGCTATCATTCGTCCCTACTATCGTCGTCGATAACGTGAGTTACTCCATACAATATTCCCCATGATTAATAAATTTTCTAATTAGTCGTCTATTTCCATTGATTGAAGGTATACTCAAAGGCGAACCAGATCGCAGCACTCGTGGACTTCAAGCAACTTGTCCGCAATTATATCGCTGCTAAAGCGCGAAGGCTTGTGAATACTAGATTAGTAGGAAATCATGCTTATCCGTTTTTTTATTGATGTGAGGATAATTTCGAAGACATCTTTTTGTCTTTTCTTCCATGTAGTTCCACGTAGCGCTTTTTACTAAGTAAATTTATTGAAACAACATTGATCTACAATTTCGAATAGTAAAATTAAGAGTTGACTTAAGAGTTTGGCTCTTAGTTTTCGAATAGCAAAACTAAAAATCAAAGAGCAATGAATTTTGCCAATAAAATTGTTATTTTCAAAGAAACATGCATTATTTATTCTTAAAACCCATTCATTCCTGTCTCCAAATAGATAATGATGATGATGAATAGAAAAATTTGTGGGAACATTCCGAAAAATGTGCCCTTTAAATTTTTTCTACACTAGCAGACCCTTGCTCAGCGAGGACCTGTTGCGAATGTACTACCAAAGGGCTCGATGTATAGTTGACCACTATGATGACTACTACGTGGGGCAGACGGTGCCACCCGCCGTGGGAGACTGGGAAACACCATTGGTTTGATTATTGGAACTGGTGATTCGCGATAATAATTTTCTATAGGTTCTCTTGACACATAACTGGATTCAACAAATGTAATAATTATGAGATGAATACTCAGAATGAAATACATGCATAATTCATGTTAGACATTTGACTATTTTCCAACTTGTGGCATAAACGAGGAGGAAACTCTGCTCGAGGTTGTAAACCCTTGAGAATTTGAAGAAAAGGAAATTAAAACTTCCCGTTTAATGAATTAATCACATAATTTAGCCAATAACTTCCATTTTTTAGATAAAATTTTCTCAAATTTGAGAGACACCCTGAGAGTTTGAAGAAGAAACAATTAAGATTTCGTCGTTATTCAATTAGTTGGTTAATTTTTAAAAACGTCTTAGAGATTACTTTTTTTTATCGTTATTTTATATCGCATTTATATCGCATCATTCTACCCGGCCGGGATTTGAACTCGGAACCTTTCGCATGTGAGGCAACGAACTTTCCCACTGCGCCAAGCCACCGGGCTTAAACATTACTTCGAATTAAAAAAAAAAAAAGAAAAGTACCTTCAGAAAACTTTCCCAAAGTTTACAGAACCTCATTATATTTTTGTTTTTGAGGTCACTGTTATATTCTGTGATTTCATAAATAAATGGAACAAATAAAAATGTTACTAAAGCACTCCCCCATGTTCTTTCACGAAATATATACACTTTGATTTATATACAAAAATATAAAACTTCTCAATCAAAGACTTAACTCTAAAGTACGTCTAATGCCCCTTGATTTGGTCCAAATCGTGATTTTACGAATCACAGTCTAAAACTAACAACTAATTGAACAAATCATAAAATGTAAAAAAATAATAAAGAGTAAACGATAGGTAACAATTCACGCAAAGTCAGTCTCGTCCAGATTATTGAGATCCAGGAATTGTCGCTCAATCTCTGGACTGAGCTCTTGAAAGTCAGCGTAACCACTATCCAATCCTGAAACAATGGAAATAAATTTTTCAAGAATTGAAAAAAGAATAAATAAGCGCGTGTAGCGCACGTGGCATGGGCCAGAGATAGCGCGTGCGAGTGCATGTGTATATTCCGTATTCAGAGGGAAAAAAATGAAAAGGGTGAGGAATATTATTTTGAATCTCAGTGTGGGGTAGAGGCATAAAGAACGGGAGGAGAAACCTCCTCTGAGATTGTCTTTCTGGATTACCTCCCCCCCCCCCCTCTCTTCTCTGTAACCCTTCAACATTTCTCATAATTATTATCACAATGTGAACGAAAAAAGAGCGAAGATTGAGTCAAGAACAGTTATTTTTACCCTCGAGAACATTTCCATGAAATTGAATTGCTGACGCGAATGAAACACTATTCTTTTATAAGAAGTTATTTTTGTCCTTCTAACAAATTTGTTTACTTCATCCAAAGAAACTAGAGGAGAAAATAGACTTTTTAGAGGGGGTTTGTCCTCCAAAAAAATGTGTGGATGAATTTTACACGTGAATTTTCCCTTTAAAAAAATCCTCTTGAAAATTTTGTCGGGATAAAATTTTCTTTAAATTAAAAGCATAATTTTATTTTAAAAAAAATCAATTTTTTATTTTATTCAAATGTTATTTTGCTTGAAAAATTCATTGAACATCGAAAAAAGATTGATAGAAGAGTATTTGTGGATGTCTTACCGACAATGCAGCTGTCGTCATCCCCCAAAATCCTAGCAACAGACTCGAAAGGCACGAATTCAGGCTGACTCTCGTCAATGACCTCCAGCTTGGTCCAGTCCCCAGTGATGCTGGCAAAATGTTTGTCATCATCATAAACCCCGCACTCGGGGTCCATCGCTGCCTTATTCTCATCACTTGGTGACCCCTCGAAATTTGTTTTCTGGGGTTTAGTTTCTTGTGTTGCAGACGTTTCAGTGTGATTTTTCACGTGTTTTCGTAGACTCGAGGGGTCAGTGTAGCGTTTATTGCAGCCATCAGCAGTACAACGATAAGGTTTCTGCAAGATTTCAACGTAATTTGAATTTTTCACCGGTGAATGTTAAATTTCTCTGTTCATCACCGAACTCATGAAATCGGATAGTCCAATTGCATTCGATTTAATCATCTCACCGTATCAAAATGAGTCCTCTGATGTTTAGCCCTGTCACTGCTGTTGCTGAAGGCCTTCGAGCATCCCCGATGCTGGCAAGCGTAGGGTCTCTCCCCCGTATGAGACCTCTGATGAATCTTCAGATTCTCCAGACGAGAGAAAGCCTTCTTGCACCCTGGAAACTGCACCCAAAGAATTTTCATTATTTTCTCTCACACGATCCACGAAATTTTTTAAAACAAAAAATCCTCGTTTACTCACATCACACTTGTTGGGCTTCTCACCACTGTGCACTCTCATGTGAATGAGTAATTTGTACCTGGCGTTGAAGGGTTTACCCCTTGGACAGCCTTTCCACAGACACGTGAATATATCCTGCCCACTGCAGCCATCCCTGTCTTTATCCTTGGATCTCTTCCCACCGTGTGCATTATTCGCCGATGACTCCACGTGACGTTTCTCAATGTGTTTCACTAGACTCCCTTGGTCAGCGAAAATGCAGCCGCAGTCGAGCCAACGACATTGATAAATCAGATTTCCTAAAAGATGAACGAAAATTGTAACGAAATCCTCACACGATTTTTTCAGAATTCAACTTCCTTCGATGTCGAATATCTCCTGAACCAATGAAGCGATTTTAATAAATCACATCTCATTTTAAAGCTGGAAAAAATACCTTGAAAACAGGAGCTGATACGCTAAATTTCACTCTGCCAATCTCGAGATATTCCCATTTGAATGAAATTATTTCACCCCAGAAGAAGTTTTCAATGGAAAAGTATATTAACTCTAAAAAAAATTAAATAATTACCTTCTGGACTGTATTTACGGCTGGGTGCCCCATTGTTACACTTCTCGAGCATCAAAGCCTCTTGCTGGCTCACGACGACTTGATTAGAATCATCAACCTCCTCCTTAATCCGATAATTCTGATCACTGAGAGGATTCGTCACCAAATGTCCCACCGGATAGCACTGATCATTACCATTACCAAAGCCATCCTGATTCCCCTCAGCGAATAAATTCGTGGGGTCACCCCTGATGAAGCTGAGATCAAACTCCTCAACAGCTTGAACATTGCTGAAGCTCCTCGCCTCCTCGAGTTGTCCCTGTTCACTCTGTGAATTCAACTGCACCTTTCCATACGAGCAGTCCTGATAATCCCGAGTAAACTCCCGGTAGTTCGACTGCTCATCGAAGTAGCTGTTGCAGAAATTCCTTGAGAAGGAGAAGGCGGTACCCACGGACGGCAGCCTGGCCCCGTCGTTCGAGTAGTCGTTGAAGTCTTGACCAGCCCAGGAGGTTGGAGTGTTGACTTCACTGCCGGTGCTTCCTGGAGAGTTGATGCCAATGGTGAGAGCCCCCACTCGTCCTGTCGGCGGATACTCAAAGACATTACTCATGTGATCCCAGTCACGTGGACTGGACGTGGAGAACTCTGGAGACCAGCAAAAACCATTGCCCCCATCGATGGGAGTCGTTGGTGTCCCTGGATCCATCGAAAAGGCTCCATTAAACTCCTCATTTGTCTCCATATTCAGTGGAAGGATCTTCTGAATGTCGTTGACAATGTGATAGTCCTCGAGGAGCATGATTACATCGAGCAGAGTTAATGAAGACGATGATTTGACGAAACTCCAGAGCGTACTGACCCAGGTTCAAGAGCCTCACGACGTCTCCAACTGATATTTGAATCTGGAATTCCCCCACCACGCTCGCTGGACCAAAAGAGGCCCAAAGAGAAGCCAGTATCGCCGAGACACCGCCCACTCGCGTGGCTCTTGCCTCATCTTCGAGCTTCTTCGGGTGCATACGTGACTGAGAGATGTCAAGTACTTGCACCCGGGGTCCGTTAAACGGGGGTTGTCCTCTCGGTTACTGCAACATCTGCTCCCATCGTCCCCCATCCCACCACCTCCGGGCTTCCCCTCGCTCGTTTTTTACCTCCTTAATTCCATTTTTATGGATTTTTTTTTCTCCTCAGATACATCTTGAATTCATTTTTTACTTGACCACTTCGTTATAAGGGAGAGTGCGTTGTCCTTTGGAGTGACATTTCTGGGGGATGGCTCTGACGTTGGGTTGTTGTGTGAGAAAATATGGATTTTTCAGTTTTCCAGATTTTAAATTGACTTTCTCACCAAAATGTTTGGGGGTGACATGATCCGTCACACAGAAGGTATTCGTATTTCATTTTTCTTCGGTTGTCTCTTGGGAAATTGGAGACTTGTGGGGGTGGAGAATCGGGGATTCGAGGGGATTCAAGGGGCTTCAGTTGTTTGGGAATCGCTGGATCGGGGACAATTGCGAGTGGTGAAAAATCAGAAGAGCAATGGCAAAAAATTGTCAAAACAGCTGCCGCACACGCGTCACTTATTAACAACAGTTTTTTGCGGGGCTCAAGGAGTTTTGTAATTCTCGTCTTTTTTCGGAGCTCTTAGGGTGATGCCACAATGACTGCATTGCGAGACATACGCAACGCGGGTAATAATCGGTCAAATTTTCTTGGATTTATTTAACGTTGAAGTATCATAATTAAACGAAAAAATCAATTGTGAAACAAATGGATTTTAATCCTTGAATTTCAACGATTCCCATGTACTAAAATAATATAAAATTATATAGAATAATATAAATTAATGTGAACTAATATAAAATTGTCGTCCAATCTTCGCCAATTAAGAATTAATTATGACATCAGGAATTTCAATGTGCAAAATTCTAAATAAATCATGAATTTATAGTCACCCCTAATGCATGTGAGAAACGCAGAAGAGGCGGGTCAAACTCCCCCATGATTAATGGGATTGCATCCCGATGTTGGTACGTTAAGACTGTAAACACTCGAATCCTCAAATATTCGAAAATGACACCAACTTTTCCCTTTTCTCCCCCTGAATATTGTTTCCCTTCCCATTTTTTCAACGAGAGGGAAGAAAATACGACTTTGTTTGCGATTGATTTGCTGTTAAAATCCCAAAATGACAATTGAACTGTTCGAGAAGACAAAAATATTGAATGTAAAATTTGAATGAAAAAGTTTTTCCTCCTTGCGACCCTCACAGAGGTCAGAAAGACGCTCATCTCGCTTTACTCATCCGATTAATCAAGAGTTCATTCCAATTCTCAAAATATCACATATAAAATCATCGCCCAATCTTCCCCAATTAATAACGAATTAATACATCAGGAATTTCAATATGCAAAATTGAAAATAAATCTAAAATTTATAATCACCCCTAATACATGTGAGAAACGAAGAAGAGGCGGGTCAAACTCCCCCATGATTAATGGGATTGCATCCCGATGTTGGTACGTTAAGACTGTAAACACTCGAATCCTCAAATATTCGAAAATGACACCAACTTTTCCCTTTTCTCCCCCTGAATATTGTTTCCCTTCCCATTTTTTCAACGAGAGGGAAGAAAATACGACTTTGTTTGCGATTGATTTGCTGTTAAAATCCCAAAATGACAATTGAACTGTTCGAGAAGACAAAAATATTGAATGTAAAATTTGAATGAAAAAGTTTTTCCTCCTTGCGACCCTCACAGAGGTCAGAAAGACGCTCATCTCGCTTTACTCATCCGATTAATCAAGAGTTCATTCCAATTCTCAAAATATCACATATAAAATCATCGCCCAATCTTCCCCAATTAATAACGAATTAATACATCAGGAATTTCAATATGCAAAATTGAAAATAAATCTAAAATTTATAATCACCCCTAATACATGTGAGAAACGAAGAAGAGGCGGGTCAAACTCCCCCATGATTAATGGGATTGCATCCCGATGTTAGTACGTTAAGACTGTAAACACTCGAATCCTCAAACATTCGAATATGACACCAACTTTTCCCTTTTCCCTCCCCCTGAATATTCTTTCGCTTCCCTTTTTTTTCTAACGAGAGAGAGAGAGAGAGAGAGGAAAAAACGACGACTCTGGTGGCAGTTCATGCACTTGTCCTCCTCCTTCCCCCCAAGAAAACACGTGCATATGCTTGTCCCCTCACCCACACACACGTCCATGGAAAAACGGTTGTATGTTATATTACGGGTAGTTAAGTGATAGAGTGGCACATGTGGTCTGCCAGCCCTCTGTGCTTACATTTTATGCTGTACACTGACTCGTCCTCAGGGGCCCCTGATTTTTTTTTTCCCCCCTTACTTTTTTTTTCTCAAACATTTTTTCTTCATTTTTCACCGAGGCACCTGTCAACTTCGTTCATATAACCATCGTATTATCCTCGCATGTGTGTTTAACCCCCGGCCGCTGAAATAATATACTGCCTCGAGATCGGTGAACACATGCGGGTTAAATGACAATTCACGAGTGAAGTGGTGAATCGAGATAAGTTGACTTAATTTGAAGATAATGTTGTTTATGATTATCAGGAAATTGTTCATTGTTGTGCTGGAATGTCAAGATATTTTGCAAAAAAATTGATGATGAAAAAATGTAAAAAGGCAAGTCATTTTAATTAAGCGATCAGTTTTTCTGTGCAATGTCTCAGTATTTCATGTTTAATTATTATTTTGATTAATATTAAAAAATCTTCATTTTAAGAATGAATTACAAAATAAATCATTGCAATTTTTCGTTAGTAATTTAATTGCTTAATGAAATCAAACTGTGAAAGATATTTCGACGTCCTATTAGTTGATTAATTCAAAACAAATAAATAATAATTGACTTCCAAAGAGGGTGTCACAAAGTTTTGTCTATTTCTCATTTCGCCATCTCTTCCAATTTCAGGACAATCGCCAAACCCTGATCTCCATTCTAAGCTGACTCAATTAATGGCACCACTTCACAATTGAAGTGTCTAAAGAAAATATATCTCATCAAAGAGTAATGATCGTAACACGCAAGTGAGATTAGATTGGCGCTCGCTAATCGTTGAACCGCAGTCTATTTTCTTTCATTAAATAACAAACTCCGAAAAATAAAAATGCCGCTGGCATTGAAATCAAACTGTGAAAGATTTTTCGACATCTTCAATTTTATACTCCTACTAATTTGTTAATTCAAATCAAATAGAGAATAATTGACTTCCAGAGGCTGTCACAACACGTTTTCTATTTCTCAATTGCCAAACCCTGATCTCCATTCCAATCTACCTCAATTCATTGCACCACTTCACAACTGAAGTGTCTAAAAAAATATACCTCATCAAAGAGTAATGCTCGTAATAATCGCGTGAAATTATATTGGCGCTCGCCAATCGTTGAACCGCAGTCTATTTCCACCCATTAAATAACAAACCCCAAAAAACAAAAATGGAATGCACGATATATTTGTATGTGAAAAGGGTATACGTAAGGTTTCTCTTGTCATCGTTCACCGTACGGTCAAGTGGCGTCAAAAATAGAAAGTCTTGAGCTCTGCATGTGACTTTATATAATTAGATACAAAACTTTGAAATGCTCCCCATCCACGTTCTCCATCATTTTTATTTTTTCCATAATTCCTCAAGCCATTGCGAATGTAGATAATCTTATTTAATCAGTTAAACGTACAAAAACCAACGAATATAATACCTAACGTAGAAAAATAATAGCCTAAATGACGTGGGTCATAGGAACGTGTAATTTTTAAAGCCAGGTGATGACACACTCGTGTTCAGGGGACGTGAAACTCTCGTGGGAGTGACTGATTTATTTCCCCCAACAATTGGGAATTGCTGGACACGTCCACTGCTCCAGGCAATCGTCAAGCAGGCGATTAATCGATCTGTGTCGATGTTTTGATGGAATTGCAGGCAATTTGGGGTTTCACCGGGAAATCCCTTTACTAGACAGGTGGGTCTCACTTCAGTTAGTCCAAATAGTCTTCCAATTTCTGTCTTAAATATTGCAACCACTGGACTGTCCTAAAAATGTTGAGAACAATTTTTCAAAAATTGCGAAATGTCTCTGGGATTTTTTTATCATATTTTTTTTTCTGGAGTTCTGGTATTTTTTTGTTACGAACTTGGAAAAGAATTGCGAGGTACTGGCCACTGGGGTCCCACTCGGTGGCAATGACTCTCCCCCCAACAGTCAATCCAGCGTCGTCGTCATTGAAGGAGACCCTCGTGAGATCGATCAAGGGAATTGCAGCCTTGGGATCATTAGCTGGACTATCTCCCTTGACATTGAAAACGTTATCTTGGAGGGACAGGGAGAATAGTGTCGCTGGGTTCTCGGTTGAGGCGAAGAGTAGGATTTGATGGGGCCCGAAACATGCAGCTGCCACTCGTCCGTTTGGCACTGTCCAGCGCTCTACTGACCATGGATTTCCAGTTCCAGTATTCCAAACACTTAAATAGATCGGTATTTCGTTAATGGTCTTGAACTTGTATGAACGATTGCTTCAATTTCACTGGTTTTGCGAACTGGATGATTTCATGATATTGAAAATGTTGGTTGAATAATTGTTGAAGATCTCTTGATCAATTTATTTTTCTTTAGTGTGTAAATTAATTGAGTGAATTGCTTCATTGATTTTTGCATTGAAAAATGCTAGTTAAATCCTTCTCTGATATATTAATATCAATTCCAAATCAACTGCATGATTTTGAGAAATTAAAAATTTTCATTGAATAAGTCTTGAGGATTTTTGAGAAAATTAATATTTTTTGCATTAAAAAATGTTGATTGAACTCTTCCTCAAGATATTTTAATTAATTCTGATTTCCATAAGTCAATTTTTTAATTTAATGAGTTTACAAACTAGAATAAAGGATTAATTTCTTGAACAACAATTTTTTATTTAGTTTCAAGTCTTAAATTCAATGAATAAAAATTTCCAATTGATTTTGTGAGATAAAAAAATTTTGATCGAACCCTTTTCCAAGATATTTTAATCAATTCTGATTTTCATGAGACAATTTTTGAATTTAATGAGTTTATAAACTAGAATAAGGGATGAATTTCTCGAACAACAATTTTCAATTTTGTTTCAAGTCTTGAATTCAATCAATAAAAATATCCACTTGATTTAGTGACTTAATAAATTAGAATTAAAAACAATAATTGTACCGAAAAACATTGCGACAAGTGGCAGCAAGTAGTTTACTCCCACAAATTGACCATTTAGTAAAGCACAATCCTCCCCCTCCAACTCTCCTGAGTGGTACTCCCACCTCCTTCGCAACATCCCAAACAATCATATTAAAATCATTGGGCGAACAGGAAACTAATAAATCCCCCTGTGGATGCCAATTGACACTCGTAACAGGCGCATGATTCCTCTGTCTCAGAAGTATGGCATGTGACAGTGAATTACTGGCAGCGCCGAGTTCAACCGTCCATACGAGTACACCAGAGCCACAGGCAGCTGCCAATTCCCGTCCAGCATTTGGCCGCCAGCTCATTGAACACACTGATTTTTGTGCAGAGTGCCTGAGCACTGCTACTCCCTGAATTTCACTCGAGTATATGCGAATGCGATCGTCACGAGTGGCTAGGGCCAGACGAGTACAGTGGGGATGCCATGCTAAACATCGAATCTATGGAATAACACTGGAATTAACTGAAGTTTAATCTGCGATATTTTTTCAAAATGAAAATCTGTTGTTTGATGAATGAATGACGCCATTTGTACGAGTCAGGGGTAATTTTTGAGGTTTAGATAATATTTTGAAAATGAGACTACATTTGGTGAATTTAACAATTCGAGAAATTCAATTTTGGAATTGGTTTTCCTAGGGTTATCTTATTGGAATAAATGATTTCCTGGGAAGTGTCTTGAGATTCAAGAGAGATAATGAGATTTTTGCAGAGGAAAATGAGAATTAAAAAAGTATCTCTGAAAATTTTTGGTATTTTTTTTATCTATTTAGGGATATTTTGTCAAAGGGAATTAAGTTGAGAAAAAGGGAAGTGAAATTATCTTTTTAAATGGTCTATATCTCCTCACGAAATGATACGGTTTTAATAAATCTGGACTCGTTTTCAAGCTTATAAAAATACTTTCAAAATGAGAGGAAATCGTAAAATTTCAACCTTCCAAAATTGATTTCGTTTCACTCAATTTTGGTTAAATATCTCTTAATCGAGGAGTGGAGTACAATTTTTACAACAATTTCCCTACTTTCCTCTCTCAAAAAAGTCATAAAAAAAATTCCTTCACCTGTCTTTCCAAAATATTACTCTCCAAAAACCTGAAATTCCCTCACTCCCACCCAACCTCGACCACAAATTCTCACCAGAGCAGTTGTCCAGTCCCTAGTCCCAGCGATATCGGCCACGGATCCTGACCCAACGGAGGGTATTCCCTCATAAGACGTCTTCCTCTCAACGAAATCAAGAATCGCAGTGATCCTGAAAGAAAAATCCCCCATCAACAACTCCCCACGAGCAACCCCGAGAACCTCGTGGAACACCTACCTCGTAGCAACCCAGTGAACCACCCTGCTGACCCTCTGAGGGTCCTCCCCAGCGGCAGTTCTGATAGCCCCGAGGACCCCCTTTTCCCTCCAAACACTGGCGATTTTTTTAAACGCACTATCTTCAACCGTGAGAAACAAATCAGCAGCGGCAATAGCCCGTGCAGATTCCCTCGTTGCCAGCGTCTCCGGAGTAACATTTACCTCCGGGCACCCCCTTATATACCTAAAAAACGGTTGCGTCTCGTCCTGGAGATTTCTCCTCTCGCAGAAGACAACCCGTCCCTCAATAATTCCAGCAGTGGCCCTCTCATCCTCCGGTGGAGGCTCAAAATCGTGAAGTGAATTTACTTTCAACATTTCGAATCGCTCCAAAACATCAGACACTGCAATCACAGGTTATGTCGCCCGTCTAAACGCCTGAACGAATCTCAAAAATACCTTCGACAACGAGTTCCCCCAAGAATACCGGCAAAATCCCCGACAAAAACGCGCATAAACCCCCAAAATCTAAATAAAAACTCACCGACTGACGAAATAACCGGACTCCAATGCTCAATCACGAGTCTGGGGTGCGGGAGGGGGTGTGTGTTGTGGAGGAGCCCCCCCAACACCAGTGAATAAAGTGCACCGGCCGGCAGTGAGGCCCGCCAATTCGTGGAATATTCAAACGCACCACCGACGAATGGTGAATTTCAACGCAACTGCGCACGCGCAACGCGGGATTAATCCAAATAAGCGATAATACCCGGAATCAATAAACACGGGGATAAGTGATAGGCAACGACTGTCATGTTCCCCAGAGAATGTCCAAGTGAATTGTTTAATTACCGAGTCTTGAGATAATTGTTGGCACGAACGATCGAGTGATAATAGTGTTGAAATAATTGTAACCAACAATTCCGGTGAGTGACCAAGTTACGTCACCCTCTGTGGGGTGTTCACTGGGGTGGGGGAGGTAGTTACCGAGGTGGGGTGGGGGATTGTGCAGTGTGCGGTTGCGAGTTAGTCGGACAACGGGTGCTGCGAGTCAGGACGGTGTGGTACGAGAGCTACAGTTTTCTAGAAAATCATTTCGGCATTAAAACGAGTTTGAAAAACCAGTGAAATACCAATGAATTAAAATTAACGGACAATTTTAATGCTCAAATAAAATTGCCGATGGGGTTGGTTACAACGAGACAATACGGTGAACTAGGAGGAAGTAAAAAAAAATGGCCCATAGGTAGTGAGAGTAATGATTGAATACGTGGGATTGCCACCCTAGAGAATAATTAAGATAAAACCGAGCGCAGTAGTTTAACCCGAAACGAGACTGATAAGTAGTAAGAATTACGTAAAAATTATTTCAAACGTGTGGAGACGTGCAGCAACGGAGAGTGAGACCACCGGGGTCTCGTTCTCCACGAGGATTAGAACATGGGAAAGGGGTACAAACGAAAAACACGATGGAGAACTCTGAACATTGCCGGTGAGTCGTGAGAATTTTTCATTATTTACGCTTTAGATGTATTTTCCCTTAATCTCCACTTGGCTACCACCAGCACGTTTCTCGCACTATTCTTTTCATTTTCCATTACGTCACAGCCTCCGAGGATCATCGATCCCATTTATTATCCTTCGACACTTCCATTTTCCTTACCTCCCCGAATTGAAAACAGTAACTCCCGTTCCTCGCAAACAATTGCCCCTCAAACTCGCGATAATACGAGATAAATACGGCATTTGGAGCCTCGAAATTGTCGTGTTTACCTGGCATTCGATAACAATGAGCATGGAAATGAAAATGTAAGCAGAAGAAAAAAAATATGAAATAATAATAGAGCTATGCCATGAATCTCGACGAATCCATTGGCGTTGAGTTCGATCGTCGATTGGACATCGCGGCCTCCTCCTTCGGTTAGAGAAGGAAAAGGGTAAAGCCGTGGGGGGAGAGAAATATAACAGAACAGAGCGACGAGAAATAGGAAGGGAGGGATAAAGAGTATCATATCCCTCCAGTTTATTCCGTCTCCCTTGCACTCTAGAGTGCGACTGAGTATCGATCCGCATACACACATAACCCTGGGACACAAGGTGGAGAAAAAGTGAGACAGACAGACCCTCTAGACACATTTTTTTTCCCAACACCTGTCCAGTATGAAATGTCTACTTTTGCCCTTTGCTCAATGTACATCCGACGAATGAACTTTGTTCCACTCGCAATTCGATTATCTCTCCGTAACACACCATTTTTTTTCGCTCATTTGCTTTTCAATCACGAGATAATAACTCAATATCATTTATTATCGTGCCACCATTTATCGGTCATGGATGCACGATTGTTAGAAAAAGACGAGAAAATTGAAAAATATTGACAGTTGTCAGCTCATGCCCCGGGAGAATTCCGCAATCAGTCGTCACGCTATCATTTTCACGATACATCGATAATGACACTCGTCTTCCTCATTCAATAATCCTGCGTAACTTTCAAGGATTACAAGATTAATAATCCAGAGAGGAAGAAATGTATCGTCGAGAGTGCACGAGGTCGAATCGATACGCGTTAGAGTTCGCAAGAGTCAAGACAACTTCTATAGACCACATCGAGAATAGTAAATTACAATGGACATCAACTTGGCGGTGTCGAGGGGAAAGGGGTGCAGGGAATGCCTAGAGAGTGGAAAAAGGGAAAAAAAAAAGACAATTTATAATAAGCGTGCTCGAGGGGGGGCCAATGTACTCTCTCACCTCATCCATTCGTACGACAGAAAGTTTGAGGTTATAAGTTACCAAGTGGTGTTCTTTAAAAGCCCCTATTACGTAATACTTGAATAATATTTTTCTTTCAATGACCTCAACACCTCATGACTGACCTCTCCCTGTTCTTGAGAATAAAAACAAACGACAATGGAAAATGTGAAATGAATAATGTAGAAATTGAAAAGATGTTTGAACAATGAGGAAGCCAGATAAATGGGGCGTGTCTTGTTATTAGTCTCGTGACACTGTTGGAGAATGGTTTGTGTTTGGTAATAAAAAAAAGGCCCGTTGGGATGATGAGCATGTGACGAAGTGAGACAGGTACCCTTGCGAATTCACTCGGCACTGGCCTCACGTGCTATTCATAACTATGGGTTGATGCGTGCGCGCAATAATACGCGTTATATCTGTACTTTTGGGCCAAAGGAGCAGGTTATACCTCTCCTTTTTACTGCTCTCACCATCCAGCGCATTGTACAATTGCATAATAGTCATGCTGCTATTTTTTTGTAAAAATAATCGATTGAAGATAATGGGTTAATTATGCATTTATGCATGGGGTCGAGAGCCCCATGGGAATTTCACAGGTTTCCAGTGCTTTCTGGATGATTATTATCCAGAATCGATGTCTGCTGCTTCCCTTGCAAATGAAACTCGTTATTTTGCGCATGCAAAGACATTTTACGGATGATGATCACGTTTTTCTGCGTGTTTCGCTCTCAGTTCCCTTTTAAAATGACATCTTATTATTTTCGGATAGTTTATCGTCTGTCTGACGATTCTATAATAGTTTCGAGGCGCTCTAAATGGATTTTTGGTTAAGCCCCACCCCATTTCAGATTTGTATCATGTACCTCATGGTTTCGTCTGTAAATCTTGATTCGTCTGTCAAGAGTTTCATGGAAATTTCACTGATTTCCAGTGTTTTTCACTAATTATCATGTAGACACCGATTTCTGCTGCTTTTACAAATGAAACTCGTTATTTTGCGCATGCAAATACATTTTATGGATGATGATCACGTTTTTCTGCGTGTTTCGCTCTCAGTTCCCTTTTAAAATGACATCTCATTATTTTCGGACAGTTTATCGTCTGTCCGACGATTCTATAACAGTTTCGAGGCGCTCTAAATGGATTTTTGGTTAGACCCCACCCCATTTTAGATTTGTCTCATGTACCTCATGGTTTCGTCTGTAGATCTTGATTCGTCTTTCAAGAGTTTCATGGAAATTTCACCGATTTCCAGTGTTTTTGACTAATTATCATGTAGACACCGATTTCTGCTGCTTTTACAAATGAAACTCGTTATTTTGCGCATGCAAAGACATTTTATGGATGATGATCACGTTTTTCTGCGTGTTTCGCTCTCAGTTCCCTTTTAAAATGACATCTCATTATTTTCGGACAGTTTATCGTCTGTCTGACGATTCTATAACAGTTTCGACTCGCTCTAAATGGATTTTAGGTGAGGCCCCACCCCAAATTTCATAGTTGTTTCATATATCCCACGATGGCGTCTCTAAATTTTCATTTGTCTATCATCGAAGCACGGGGTCAAGAGCCCCGTGAAAACTTCACAGGTTTCCACCGTTTTCTGGATGATTATCTAGACATCAATATGCTGTTCAAGTTGCAAACAAAACTCGATATTTTGCGCATATATACACATTTTTGTCACTCCGGCCGTAAGCGCTTCCCTGCCTAAGGCCGTTATGACAACAATTATGTTCGTCACACGGACTAAAAAGACTTGTCTAAAATTTTTTTTTCGACCTAGTGATGAAATTTACTATTTGTTCCGCCTCTCTCCGATTTAAAAATGGCATTACACTATTTTCGGATAGTGTGCGTCTGTCTGACGATTCCATAGCAGTTTCAAGTCGTTCAAAATGGATTTTTGGTGAGACCCCACCCGTCATTTCACACTTGTCCCGTACCTCATGATTTCGTTTGTGTTTCATCGGAGCCCCATCATTATTATCCAGACATCGACGACTGCTGCTTCTCTTTCCAATGAAACTCGTTATTTTGCACATACAAACACATTTTTACGGGCGATGATCACGTTTTTTGCCTGTTTCGTCCTCTAATTTAAAAATGGCATGGTACTATTTTAGGATAGTTTATCGTCAGTCTGACGATTCCACAGCAGTTTCAAGAGTTTCCAAATGAATTTTTTAAGAGGCCCCACCCCTCATTTCACACTTGTCTCAAATACGTCGCGATTGCGTCTGTAAATCGTAATTTGTCTTTCATCGAAGCAGGAAATCAAGAGTTCCATGGAAATTTCACAGCTTTCCAGTGTTTTATAGATTATTATCTGGATATCGACGTCCGCTGCGTCTCTACCCAATGAAATTGTTATGGCTGATAATCAAGTTTTTCTGTCTCTCCTGTTCTCTCTCTGATTTAAAAATAATATTACATTATTTTTGAACAGTTTATCGTCTGTCTGACGATTCTATAACAGTTTCAAGTCGTTCAAAATCAATCTTTGGTGAGGCCCCACCCCTCATTTCACGCTCATCTCATATCCCTCACGATTGCATCTGTAAATCTTCGTGTCTTTCGCTCGCAAGCCGACCACACCAGCGGAGCCCTGGCACGTCTCATTCATCTCAATACAATCCCTCAAATCCCATAATTTTTGGATAATGCACTTGGCTTGTGATGAAATTGGAAACAATCAGAGAGGGCACACACAAGTCAATTTGTTATCCCAGTTTCCATGGCCTCGGTATTGCATTGTGAAATCATCTGCGCAGACGCGGAAGTTGCCTCCCTCTATTCCTTTTCAGTTTTGCTCGATATTTGCTATACTTGAAGAAAGAGAGGAGAAGACACCGGCAGTCAGCCATACCTCCGGTAAAAATCGAAGAGCCGCTGGGTCAGTTCGGCATTAACATCTCGATGTGTTTCATCTCCACGAGGCGATAAAAAATCCCTATTTGTCTCACTCAGTGTATTTCTTTCTTTTTTTTTTTTCATTTCATTTTTGTTGCGTTTGGAATTAGTGACCATTAGTGCCTGTGTGCCAAATGCTACCTCAGCCTGGTCATTGACCTTTAAAGTGTGAAGACCTTTAAAGTGTGAAATCATTGTGAATTAATGACACCCAATTCAAAATTCCCCAATGTTTCATTGAAAATTTGCCCCTCCCCTCCGAAAAATGGGAGAAATGGTAGAATTGAATGGCAATGAGAGAAATAATAAATTAAAGTCAACTGCGTGTATTCTATCACACTGTTCTTGCTATTCTCATTCTGAGACTATTTCTAGTAACGGCACGCGGTACAATTCAACGCCAGTCTCGCATCGTGCACAGAGCGCGTCAGTTTGCGTTGCTCTTGCTAGACTGTCTAACATCCAAGTCTCCGACTATTTCCGCTTGTCTGTCTCCCACTGGAGTCATCGAGTTTAAAAAAAAAACACATCCTCTTAAATTGTCATGCAGTGGCGTCAGAAGAGAAAGATCAACCGTGTGATTGGTTCAGGGCACTACATCCTTCTAATATCGAGGTACCAATACGGTACGATTATCCTTAACACGTAACATGATGCAATCCTCGTAACAAAATTCGCAACCCTTTCCCTAGCAACTGAGAATCTCTCGCTGTATTACATAATCGAATGAATCATTGTAATTATTTTACAGCATCACCTGGCGAAGAGGACGACGAGGATGGAATAAGAGATGTAAAGCCACGTGAGAATGGCATAAGAAATTCCCAGCACAGTACTGGAAATCACAAACAACTCCACAGAACTGAAACAAAAAGTCAGAATGGAGTTGCCACTGGTGAATCTACTGGTGCACCTCCATCGAGATCACAGCCGAAAATTATATTCGATGAGAATGAGTACACAAGAATCACAACACCCCGTCAAGATGTATTATTTAAGAAGGGCTATCTGGCGAGGAAGAAGGTGTGGTCGAGCAATAATGCGAGTACAAGTGCAACCCCGTCGACAACGGAGAGCCAGTCAGCCTCGCACTCAACAGCAGGTAATCCTCATTATATCCACCGTTATGTGGCACATTACAATGATCCTATTGATCGAGTTAATTCAATAGATGGTAGCGAGACAACTGAAGACCAACAATTCCTGGACTGCCGTGACAGCGGTCTTGAGGAGTATCCCCCGATGACTGAGACAGCTCCACAAATGAGCTACGGTACATTCTACGATCCATCAACTGGTTATTACTACGAATATCCAGTTATGGTTGTTGGCCCACCAATGCCAGGCCCACCAATGCACAATTTATTAGCAGCAATGCCCTGCGAAGCTGTACCACTACGACCAATAGAATGGGTCAATCCTGCCTTTGTACCAAAACTCGAGCAGCCATATTGTCTAATTGATTATCAGGTCGTTTGTACTATTTTTAAATAATCACCTTCATCTTCATTGAGTTGTGGCTGACCTTAGATGTTGTTTGTCCCTTTAGAACCCACAAGATGGCCAATTTCCAAGTGTCGAGGAGAATGGAACGAGTTTGATGGAAAATCCATGCACAAATGGTACAGATGAACCCGTGGAGAATGGTAATGGGAGTTGGACAGGGAGCACAGTTGGTGATGAGAATCTCGATGAAGAGCAGCAGAATGGACAAGAGGAGACACCAGCAGATGGAGAAGTGGCGCCCGAGGTTACATATCCATCTGAGCCATGCCTAGAAACTGTTCTTGCTCAACAACTTCATGTGTCACCTCACGTTGTACCACCACAGCCCTACATGTATCCTGGTCACTACATGTTCGGTCCAACTCTCATTAACGTCAATGGTTCGTTATTTCATAATCAATTGAATAGATGAATAATACATTCAATATTAAACTAAAAACTCCATTATAAATTTTTTTGGGACTTTGAGTTAGTTTCTCGCAGCTTATTTTCTATTAGTTTCGCGCACACACGCCTTGACGGGATCAACGGGAACAATAAAGGACACTGATTTTTGGAAATATTGAAGATACTGGACAAAATGTTTGAGCAATGGTTGAAAATTATCCATTTGGTTACGTGTCTATTCAACGTATGATAAATCTTTTCAGCAACCTAAGTAATGTTGATGAATGTTCTATTTTAACTTTCGCTGTACCTTTTTTACAGCAAAAACAATTTAACCTGAGCGGAATGTATGACTTTTTTAAAAATTTGATGATTTCGAAACTATGAAAATATGAATTCCAATTACATGTGGATTTCATAATTTTTCATTCATCAGAAGTCCCCGATCCGTGAGGGTTAATATATTATTAAATGGGGGAACCCCAGACTTTTTCATCGAAGAACCAATCAATAACCTATAATGATTAATTCAGTGTCCACCAGAGTTCGGCATTACCCAGAATTCCCGACGTGTATGTGGCTGGTTTGAATTCCAAAAACACTGTTAAAAATTTTCGTCTGAATTTTCCATGTCAAATTCCGGAAATTTTTATCGTGTTCAAGTTCCAGGAAAATCAGTCATTGAAAAATCAAGTATTCCATTCATTCTCGGTTCAAATGCTATGAGAATCAATAAAATACTTCATTTTTCAGTTTAATTATTCTCCAACAATTAAGAAAAATGCGGAAAATTCGGGGAAAATTTGAAAATTAATGTTTTTTTTTGCGAATATTCATGTTCCTCTGAAAACTCATGAATTTCCGTGAATTCCATTGTAAACTTGAAATTTCATAGCCATTTTTCCCTAAAGATTCACAGTCACTCTCATGAGATTTACTATAATATCTTAAAAGAAATTTCAAAAAATTCCTAGCAGTGAAGTCCCCATATTCGCCCCAAAAATGAATATTCATTATTCTTGCATCGAGTTTGTCATGTGTTATTCAGACCCGTAACCGGTCCATTCACCTCACGATACTTCGCAATGACAAGGAAAAATAAAATAGTTGCACCAGATTATTGACGTTGCTCAAGCATTTGTCCGCGTTTGTGACGTCCCGTTGCAACCGTTCAAACCGGTACAAACCGCTTGATCGCTGCCTCTTTCTAATTGTTAAAACGAGAACAGTATCGTGTGGACAATCGTCAAGGGGAAAGGGGTATGTCCAGATTCACAACTGCTGTCCCGTTCATCGTCGTCCTTGCTGTTTTATAGACATCTCGCCTATGCTTCGTTCAAGGTAACAAATTAAATCGGAAAAGACAGAAAAAAAAGGATAATTAAAAGACGAAAGAAAAAAAAAGAAAAAGAATTTGCAGAATCTCACAAGCACGAGTTCAATAAATGATACTCAAGTTAATGTCTCACAGCAAGCATTAAATGCCCACAAGTACATGGAGAATTTCGTTTGACAATTTCATTGACTCCCATAAATTTCGCGATTTTTTCTCCTACGGTTCACTAACGGCATTTGAATGTTCGAAATATTCCATTGGGTTTCGGCTTCTCGAGGCCGAAGTTGTCGCTTTGGCAAGAGTCACACATTGCTACGAACCCAAATAGATGTCACGTAAAAATAACTAGAAGGGAAGTTTATCTTTGAAAGGCACCAATTGTGTCTTCAAGGGGGATTGTCGATGAAACAGAAAAAATGTTAAATCCCCAAGAATGCTCTGTTCAGTGTCGTCTCCACGAAAAAACCACTGTACAAATTTCCCCAAAACTCCTAACATAATGGCTCACTGATTTTAATTCAAGGTATGACAATTCAGAGTGGACCAATGGTAAGGACTACAGACATGCCAGCGGGGGCGTCGATGTGTGCCAAACGGAGAAAGAAAAAAAAACTGTACCGAAGGAAGCCAAGACGTCCAATTGGTCAGGTAAACCGGCAAAGTTCATTCAGTAGAGACTTCAGTTAACGCGCAAAAGGTGAAAAACATAATTCCCGACCACGAATTACAAATTTCACAGGACAACAGCGAGGATTATGGACCGGAGGAGGAGGAGTACAGCTCTGAAGCTGACACCGTGAACTTGGCCACAGCATTCGTCCCAAGCAGTCGTCCCCTGAATCCAGACTGCAAAGAGTTTGAATTGCGACCCTCGACAATCGCTGAATCACCATCAACACCTTCGCCGAAGGTGCCCGACCCAGAGCCGTCCTCCACCCTCAATTCCCACGATTCACCGATGGATCCAATGACACAAGACACCAATGACCCACAGGCCGACAACTCAGCGACAATCACCGAGGTTGAGTACGCGACTGAGGCAATTGCCAACGAGTTGAATCAAACGCACATCGAGGAGTCCCAAGAGACGGAGATCGGTGTAGACGCGACGTGCGCTGAGTTCAGTGACATCGTGGACAAGTTTGAGGTCTCGAAGGAGTTGTCAAATGGTCTGAGCAGTCCCCTCCAGGAGTCAATGGAGACGATCGTGCCAAATGGAAATGACGATGATCTTGAGAGATTGTCGAATGGCGATCTGACAGACCTCTCTCCCTCCCCCGAGCCGAGGGAGTCCATAAGCCTGAAAGTACTCGCATCAAAATCAAATTCCAACTCTCGTAAGAAGTACAAAACCCCGAAGATCGTGCGTGAAGCGACTCCAGGACCCGAATTGGATGATGAAGTTGGAGGTGGAGATAAGCCCGAGGGCCTCAACATCGAAGTTATAATGGGAATCGAGGTGATCGAGGCACAAGTGCCAGTATCAAGTGTCTCGACGATAGGTAGTTACACCAATAAACCCAAAGACAATTCAATCAACGATGTCACACACGAAGACTCAGGCTTCGAGAGTCAGACACACGCCTCAGAGCATCGAATAACCGAGGCTGTTACCCAGTGGTTGAGACGCGCCAATTCACCGGATTTATTTACCGGTTTGAGAAACAACGACAACAGTGATAATGAAGACGATGAGCCGAACGACATTGAGCCGTCAAAAAACTTGCAAGGCAACCCCATGCCTGCACTATCTGCTAATAGTGTCGTGATAAATGATAAAAATTTATCGCGTCCGGCTGGTGAATTCGCAACAAGAAGGAGAAAACGTAATGCCAATAAACGTAAGAAGAAACAGCTCAAGCTGTTGATGAAGAACGCCTGCGAATTCCCTGATAAGGATAGCGTTGCGGGTATGAGGGTTGCCGAAAGCACTCGGATTGATGACGATAGAAGGGAGATTAATGATGAGAGGAGTAACGAGTCTACTGAATCTAGTCGTGACAATGGTTTGAGGGACACAACTGATGTCGACGGTTTTAAGACGTATGAGCAGGGAGAGATTGTGGTGACGAACGATGGAAAATTGTTGTCTGGAGGTGCACCACCACGTCGTGAGGGCAATCAGGAAGGCATTACTGAGCAAAAATCAGAGATCAATTCAATTGGAAGTATTGAGGAGCCCGATGTACTTGAATACTGGGAGGTTGAGACTGTCGAGCCCTTCGTCAATCCAAAGACAATGGAGAAACGAGAGAGCTCTGAGCCTCGTGGGGCCTGTGATGTCGATCCAGCTGGACTCGAAATTGTGAGAAAGTACTACAGATTGGCACGCAACAGTGTCCAGAGTGGCTCAAGCATCGATGACGATGCTAAATCAATAAAGAGTGGCTTGAGATCACGATTAACTAGTCCCGATATCATCAAGCATTTCGACAGACAGATGATCGACGAGGGAATCGAAATCTATGAGAGCTGCTACAGTGGTAAGCCACCCATCTATTTTGATCCACATTTTCAAAGATCAAAGTTCTCAAGGAGAGATGACGAGGGCGCTCTACCGTGCAGAGTAACATGCTGCAATGTTCAGTAAAATAAATCCTTCCTGACCGTCCCCAATAACGTTCTTGGAGCTTTCCTCAACGATTGATTTATTTTAATCAGAGCATTAAAACTCATGTGTTCCACTGCTCAATTCATCACTCAAAAGCCGAATGAAAATTATTTTAAAAACATCCACGAGCAATGACAAATGAGGATTAATAGTTATCGTTGTCAGATGCGTTTGTTCTTGTAAATAGCTCTTAAGTTTCTGGTTTTGCGAATGCGTAACATTATTACATACGCAGAATGATGAAAAATTATTATACAATTTACACGTTGATGTCACAAAGGTGCAAATGATCACCCAGTATCTCTCGACAAATGAATTATTAATTGAGTTTATTTGAAAAATGTTTTTCTCTCGGTTGTTTTTTTTTTCAGTCATCCATTTATCTCATGGTTATGGTTGTTAATTATTAATTGTTACTATTATTATTTTTAAGTGATGAATATGCCCATGTGAGAGGTGCTTTGTGAATGAACAAAAAGGGCAATTTTGATGCCGTCATTTTGATTTAAAAAAAAAAATGAAAAAAAAAAATTCAATAATCTCAGATGAGTGTTTTATCATAATTACCAATTAATTATGTAAGACTAAACGAATGGTGTTGAGACGAAGTAAGAGAAAAAAAAATGAATGGAGGGATTGTTTAGTGAGGTACGATGCAACCAGCATCTATTGTTATCCAAGGCATATTTTTATCGCGCCTTGGTTTATCTGTTTTAAAAGGTGAAAAAGTAAAATGAAATGAATGAAGATTAAAAAATATTTAAAGAATGGCCTTTGCTCAGGAAACGATTCCCTGACACTGCTCACAAAATAAACAAAAAAAAAAACAAATTAAAACGCAGCTTATGGATTTATGACCTGAGCTACAGCATTACTACACAATGGAATCATGAGTTGAAAAAAAAATCACAGGGAAAATTTGATAGACTGCACTCTAGATCCACCCCGGATTTTGTTGTGCAAAGAAGACACGATGGAAAATTAATGGGAGTAATACTGCAAGCCGTTTAGTTTCAGGATAGCTTTTAACGTGACGTTGTACGGTGTCAATAGGCAATAAAAGCTTGGTAATAAAGGAAATGATGTTGATTGATGGAGAAAAAATATATAACTATGTAAGCGTGAGTTAGGGGAGAGCAAAATTAAAGGAAAACAAAAAAAAAGACAAGTCCTCGAGTAGATGCTGTACACGATAATCGCGAAAGACCCAAAAACACTTGCATACATCACATATACTCATACTGTAATCAACACATTGTTCATTCATTAGCTTTCAAGTGAGAACAAATTAACAAATACAAACAAACATCTCAGGTTGATGCGATTGTTGTTGAGACATTTACTAAATTAACATTATCCCATATCGAAGTAAATGAGAAAAAAATTACAGAAAAGAAAAAATAATAATCACGACATACCTCATACATAACTAAAAATTGTGTAAATATACCTGCGAATTGTTCGAGATGGAAAAAATGAAATGATACGTCATAAATTCATGAGTTAAGTTTCAGAGGACTATTATTCTTAAAATAATTTCATTATTTTTTTTTTCTCGTTCTCGATGATGAATAAAAATAAACACCAAATGTATTAAATTGTGCCATGCGAATCGTTCCAACAGTACCGAAATACCACGACAAAATGAAAAAAAAAAAAAAAAACAATGCAATCTGTAACTGAATTATCGAACCGAATGAAAGACTTCATAAAACCCACAAAATGTAAAATAAATAATCGCTATTATAACGTGCGCGTTGCATCAATTGTGTGCCTTATTCTGTGGCGATCACTTATCTTGAAAGAATTTGCAAACAGTGAGAAAAATCCGACAATTTTGGAACGAATGAAGAAAAAAAAAATCCCAAATCGAATGAATTCTCTGAATGAAATTGAAAGACAGCTCTAAATAAATCCACAAAATCACCCGCAAATTAATTAATTTCTTTTGTTTTTTCATTAAAAACCAACAACCATTGTTTATATAAATGATAATAATTATTATCAAAAACCGTAATTGAATAGGAAACTACTTTAAATGATTAAAACTTCGAAGAACAAATAACGAAGACACTGATTACACCGAACAAAAAAATTAAATCACATAAAATACAATGTGAGCATTGAAACGATGAAATAAATCAATAAAATTTGTCCGAATCACGTTCAATTGTACAATTAAAATTACTCTAGTTGTACTGGGTACAAAATACGCATAAGAAGTGGAAATGATACTTGAGAACAAAAAATACTTCGTCGTGTTATCGCTTTAAACTTAAGGAAATAATAAACATAGGTTCGTTTTAAATTCTCTTCACTGATTATTTTCTCTTTGGCTCCATGCAGTAGTCGAATGGGGTTTAAAACTCGCACCTGGGCTTTGAATTACAGGTGGAGGCGGATCCAATCTCAATCAGATAAGTCATAATCACTTAATTAATCACAGAACAGATTTTAAACACTTGTTTGTATCGGTTTGCACTGCACTAAATCATTTTAGACTGGGCATTTTCTTCATTTATGACCTGTTTTAGTCAAGAGTGGAACTTAGGAATGATCTCAAGGGGTGAGAATATTTTTTTTTTGTGAAAATTGAAATTTTAAACGGAAAATAATATTCTGTAAATGCAAGTGTTGTTGTGATTTATATTAATCCCTCGAAAAATTAGTGAAATGCAATTGGAAAATAGTGAATCTGTTCATTTCCACATTAATCTTCTAAAAAATGTTTCCAAAAAATCTATCATCCACCAAAAAAAAGAAACGGGTCCTCGAATTACTTTATTTCGACTTTTTAAAATTTTATTTTCTTCGAACTATGAATTATTGCTAATTTCTCGTTTATTCATTCCTTAGAAGAGCTTAAAATCTTTGAATAAAGACACGTTTTATTTAAAAGTAAAATCTAGGTTTAATTCCAAGGATGAATTTTCTAAAAAATCTGCAAAAAAACAAGTTTTCGAATCTCTTTATCTCGACATTTCGACATCTAATAAAACAAGAGTATCTCAAAATTCATGTGAAAGCCTGTTGTTCACATCCATTTCTAAGTTTCATGGAGCTCGCAAATCATTTAATTTCTTTTCCAATGTGAATAAGTTCATGTTATTTGTACTTTTTAATGCATTCATACCATTTATTTAGCTGTCAAAATAAGGAAAACGTGAGATTTCAGACTATTTTTAATATTAATCGTCAGATACCTTATTCTTAACATGAATTTTGAGAAACTCTTGTTTTAAAAATAAAATTGAATTACCCTTGTTTTATTAGGAACCGTCCATTTTCTCATTTACCCCCTCCAAAAAATTCTCAAAAATCCCAAAAATACGCAATTCAAAATCCCCCAAAGAAGTGGCGCCTAGCGCCCCACGAAGTGAATTCCGAGAGTCAGCCCCACGGGAACCCGCAGTGGACTAAAAACCTTGAACCAACAGTCGAAAAAGCAAAAACCCCTGGACCCGTACCCAAAAAATCCCTCAAACTAATATTTCCGCGCCTAAAATTCCCCCTAACAGCTGAAACCCCCCGTGAAATCCTCCGCACCCCCGACAAAAAATAAAATAACTGCGAAGTGAAGAGCGCGAGAGAGAGAGGGCTACACCGAAGGTGAAAAAGATGAGCGTGATTGGTCGATGCGAGTGGCAGTACACATTGCGATTCGCGAGTTGAATCGCGAAGGACACGAACGGGTTATACACCGCAGGCATTACGTGTCCCCCCCCCTCCCTGTGCATGTGTGTAAATTTCGTTCAAGTATTAGTGAGCAAAACGAATGGAGAATGGTGGTGGTAGAGGAGGTGAAGGCGCGAGGTAGGTAACCAACAGGCCAGCAGGCCCTAGCCCCGAGGAGTATCGCTGAGTCGTGAGGCAGAACGAGCGTGCGATAGGAAGCACAGAGTGGCCAGCAGGCGCGACGTGGTGGTGGTGTGGTGGTGGTGACGACTGGTGCCGTGGACGGTCGGCGGGTCGGACGACCGTGGTGTGTTTGAAGGAATAAATAAAATCATTTTGTTTTGTCTTTTATAATTTCATAAACAAAAAAAAAAATCCCCCCGCCCCCCAACCCCAGGTAATCAGTGATTTGTGTTTGTTTATCGGTAACAAAAATAGTTATTCTGCATCAGAATAACTCGTAATGAACGTTAATTCAATTCATTCAAATGAGCAGACCAAGAAATTGAGGTAACAGGAGGGGGAGAATTTGATGCGGTGGATTTTTCAGTGAGAAAAAGTAATTGGGTAACTAGTGCCAGATACACCCGGAAGGAATCGTCCAAAGCGTTGCGGATATATTTTTTTCACTTCACTCTAAAAGAGAGTGAAAAAAAAAATTGAAGGAGCAAAAACGGGGGGGAAAAAAGTGAGACAGCACATAAAGGAAAGTGATATATAGATCAAGTCGGGAACAACTGGGTGGTCGAAGTTTGGCCAGCAGTGAGGACAAGTGTGCCGGGAGCTCGGGGGATATTCCTCTGTGGCGGTGACGTGCAAGAGACGCGCGGACAGAGACAAGAAATCAGCGGGGATAAATTGAAAAATAAAAAAAAAAAACCACAGGGCACATTAATTCGCCAGTTTACCCCAGGAGTTTGATAAAATATCATCGTAAATCATGTCTGACAGAGAGAGCCTGGACGATCAGCCGCAGAGTGAGTATTACCGTTCAACTATAAACAATTAGCTGTCACAATAACGTGAATCGTTGAATATCAATGAATAATAACGTGTGGATGAAATATCGTGTACAAGGCGGACATCTTTTTTGGAGTGGGAACTATTCACGGGGCGGGCGCGGAACGGCTGGCCGAGGGATCGAGGGGAGGTGAGGCTGAAGGCCCCAGGGGCGAATTATTTCAGTCGGTTAATATTCAGACGACATTAATTCACCGAGTGAAGGGTCAAAAAAACATCTCATTTCAATGAAAAATTCCAAAGTGACTGAATTTTTTTCATGACAACGAATTCTCGTCTCGTGGCGTTCTGTCAAGAGACCAAAAAACTCTTTCGTTTCTGTTCTGTTTAACTTCCTCTTCATTTTTTTTTTTATTTTTTTAACGGCTCGTAGGATTCAAGATGGCTGGCCGAGTATATCGGCGAAGGGAGCCCCCTCTATCTTTGTTCTGGGCGGTTTGTCCATCTTCCATGCAGAACTTTGCCAGCGGCAGCAGCACCACTGCCACTGGGAACTTCTCCACTTGCTCCTCCGCCATTCAGAATTTTTTTTTCCACTCGTTTTTGATCTCGGGTATTGCTGGGAATTCAGGAGTGCCCTCCGCATTGGGATCACCAGATAAATTGTTTCGTTTCACTTAAATTATTTGTGCGCTTACTAACTAGACTCTTCAAGGTCGAGCTACGGGTTTTCTCTGTCTATAAAACAGACTACCTGCGGGTAGTGACGTAATACCTGGTGTCGAACATAACCTCCCGCAACGGCTTTTGTCATTAGTTAGTAGAGATATAGAGACAATAGAAACAAATAAACAATAGGCGAGAGCTGAGCTTTTTTTTTGTTAGAATGAGTTTCATTCGATTGATGAGGGGAGGACGATCAATTACTGGAGTGTTTTTTAATCCGCTGAGGCGGAATTTTATTTCGGAGAGGTTTTGTCACGGGGGAGCGTCGAATTCGGATCGATATTGTGGGATTTTGGTCCGGGGCAAATCGGGATACAGTACTCTTGTGGCGGAAGGCCACACGAAGGAAATGACGGATTCATCTTTTGAAGAAAGATATCCGCAGGAAAATATTGAAGATCCCGGTTGTTAATCATCACCAATTTTTTTTTTAACGTTTTTGTACATTTTGCTCACGTGTTTTTTTTTTTTCATTTTCAGAGTATGGAAATCCCGGTGGAGACAGCGGAGGGGCTGATTTTGATGCTGGTGAGTTGATCAGAATTTATTTATCAATTTCAGACTCGAAATGAAGAAATTTCAAGAGAGGAATTTGAATTTATCAAATCTTGCGTTATTTTTAAGATAGTTAATTAAAAATTCAGATGAGACTGCATTTGGTTGCTTCGGATCATTTGGAGATTGGATATCGATGACTTTGAAGTAGAGAAATGCGTTGAAATCAAGAAAAATCTATTTCACTTGAGTATAGTTCGGTTTTTTCACAACATTTCGTGTAAATTTGAAGATCTTCAAGAACTAATTGTCCCCTCGGTGCATTACTATAATTTATTTCATTTTTTTAGGATATTTTATGATGAATATTCCCGAATTTTAAGGACACAATAAAAATTGTAAGAATTTAGAATTATTTTCGTTAAAAAATTTCGTAATTTTCTTTAAATTTCCAATTATCGCCCAAAAAATCCAAATAAACTTCATTCACTCCAATGAAAAATAAATTTCACTCGAGAATATTTCGGGTTTTTCACAATATTTCGCGTGGATTTGAAGATCTCCAAGAGATAATTGTTCCCTTGGTGCATTACTATAATTTATTTCATTTTTTCAATTCCATTTTTGGACAAATATCTCGAAATTCAAAGGACACAACAAAAATTGTAAGAATTTCGAATCATCTCCGTTAAAAAATTTCGTTTACTTCCCTTAAACCTCCCGCTACCCCCAAAAGCTCCAACCAAATACCACCCACTCCGATTTCCCTCCACCCCAAAATTCAAATTTTCCCGCGTCACCCACCCGTACCACACCACGCACTGCGTCACACTCCCCGCAGAAATCTAAAAATAGATGCGAAAACCCCCAAACCCACAATTATTCATCTTCTCCAGAAGATTAAATTCTCCGAAACGGCTCAACGAAGCGAATCCATCTAAAAAAAATACTCCGCCCGCACAAATTTGCCAGAATTTTCAATCTCCCCTCCCCCCCCCCTCACCGCCTGCCCCTCCCAAATAATAATTACCCCCAGAGAACTAGATCCAATCAATTAGCCCCTCATGTATAGATATTCCAAATTTTTATTTTTTTCCTCATTGAAGTAGTTTTGAAGAAAATTGCGAGCTAATAAAAAACATTTGCTAGTTAGTACTTTTTTTAAAATAAATTTTTGAAAAACACCTCTGAAAAAAAAGTCGTTATCCCCTCTATTTCATTATTTCCAAAAAAATTTATCACCAATCGATAGCAAATTGTTTGCAGATTCTTGCGAGTTAAGGAAAAATCGTCAATGCAATCCTATTATTGTGTAAATTAACAATTCCAATTTCAACTGAAAACCAGAGTTGATGACCAGAGTTTGTAACAGAGATGTCAGACAAGATATGAATGTTTTTTTTGGCTCAAATGAAAGAGCGGCTCGAAAAATGGCGTGCAGAAGTCTTTAAAGATGACAAATGTCTCTAAAGATGATGTCTGTTTTCAATTGAAAAGCGCAATTGTGACAACATTGTCCAGTGGGGTCTAGGAGTCTCCCCTGGTTCAAAACCATCTTTAGAGGCCCTAGCACGCCATTTCTCGACCCGCTCTTTCGTTTGAGCTCAAAAAAACATTCATATCTTGTCTGACATCTTTGCTACAAACTCGGGTCTTCAACTCGGGTTTTCAATTGAAGGCCCGAGTTGTAGACCCGAGTTTGTAGCAGCGATGTCAGACAAGATATGAATGTTTTTTTGGGCTCAAATGAAAGAGCGGGTCGAGAAATGGCGTGCTAGGGCCTCTAAAGATGGTTTTGAACCAGGGGAGACTCCTAGACCCCACTGGACAATGTTGTCACAATTGCGCTTTTCAATTGAAAACAGACATCATCTTTAGAGACATTTGTCATCTTTAAAGACTTCTGCACGCCATTTTTCGAGCCGCTCTTTCATTTGAGCCAAAAAAAACATTCATATCTTGTCTGACATCTCTGGTACAAACTCTGGTCACCGACTCTGGTTTTCAGTTGAAATTGGAATTGTTAATTTACACAATAATAGGAGTGCATTGACGATTTTTTCTCAATTCGCAAAAATCTTCAAACAATTTGCTACCGATTGGTGATAAAATTTTTTGGAAATAATGAAATAGGGGGGATAACGACTTTTTTTTCAGAGGTGATTTTTCAAAAATTTATTTTAAAAAAAGTACTAACTAGCAAATGTTTTTTATTAGCTCGCAATTTTCTTCAAAACTACTTCAATGAGGAAAAAAATAAAAATTTGGAATATCTATACATGAGGGCCTAATTAATCGGATCTAGAGAACTGCCTATTCCCATGAATAAACAATTCCCCATTTCCTTGCAATTGAAAACTGCAGTAGATTCCCCCCTGGATAGTCAGCTGTCCGTTGGTGTGACGTCACAGGCTGTCTGACGAATCTGGAGTACTGAGTGGAATGGTAGGGGAAGGGGGTTGGTAGGAATCACGTGGCCAACTGGTAGCGTCACGTGGCGAATAAGTGGGACCAAGAGGCTAAAGGTGGGGTGTGTGATAACGGCTATTGGAACCATCCACGAGAGTTTATTCCTCACTTGATGCCCGAGAAAATCGTAAATCTTACCACAATGACCAGACCCCCTCCCCCCCGCCGAGAAAGAGGCATTCCATAGGCATGACGAACATCTCCATGAATGATCCATACGTCAGGTGATTTCGCGTTTGACGACAGAGAGACCCGAGCGCCAATGTACGAGCGAGAGTAAAGGGAAATGATGACTGAGGAATGGGGAAAAAAAGAGAGACACGAGTCTGAGAAATTCTGCATTACTCGAATCGAGAGAGGGATAAAAAAAAAACAGCTCCGTGAGTTGGTGGGAGGGAGAGGGGAAAGTGTGTGTATTGCAAACGCGATGTGTCATCGCGCTGACTACGCACGGCCATGCTTCACCACGTATACGGCATGATTATCCTCCGGTCAAGTTAGTTTTGTCACTATCGTTCATGGTGAGAGACAGCCGGTGTCTCAGCATTTCTCGATTAAACCCCAATTATCAATAAAATAAGTTTGTGATCTGATGATTGTACATTCGAATTGTGAAATTGATTTGATGATTGTGAAGAATGGAAAACGAGAGAGAGGATCCCCTGGGCCTGAAGATGATGACAGTGGGCTGGAAGGTGGACACAATGGATCGAATTCAGTATTGGTATCCAGAAGGTGAAGATTTCCCCGCATAATACAATTGTGATAGAGGAATTGTGATTAAGGGGGTTAGACGCGTGTTGTCCGCGTGGTGGCGTTTGCGCAAAACCTCTGTCGTGAATTTTCCCCACAAAGCCCTCCCTCTTCTGACTTATCCCGTCGCCTTCAGTTAGATGCAGTTGTCATTGAGCTAGGTCAGGGTGCAGCAAAGTCGCGCAGCCAACCGCAGAATCGATGACACTTTGCACAATAGCCATATCGTGATTATTATATTTTTTTTCTCAACACCAAACTAATTGGCGAGAGCATTCTCATCGCGAGGAAATTGTCTGAGTCGCGCGGAAAATTGAGGGAAGGGGGAGTAGAATGTCGCGTTTTGTAAGAATTAACGAGACGATAATGTCGAAATGGTGACTGGGGGTGAAGTACCGGAAGGGATGGAGACAAGGGGACCCATGAGATGATGTGAAGATGACGATTGGTTGACGACTAACGACTGGCCAAACGCCAGTCGATTGAATTAGCCTAGCTGTAGGGGTGAGAGGGAAGGAGGAAAATTAGACGGATTAAACGGACAGGTGAACGCTTAGATATTGATAAATCGAGTCGCCATGTTCAAGAGCAGGATATTCCAGGGGGATCTGAGCCCAGTGACCATTCAGGGGAGTCACCAGCAGGCTAGTACGTAAATGAAGTTGGGATTGTAGTGATTCTGTTGGCCCTGGTTGATGTGACATGTTGCAATGGGGAACAGTGGGCCAGGAGGGTGGCGCTATGAGAAGTAAGAGGGGGTCGTTGAACCCGGGCCGCAGCTGTTATTGATCGAGGACTAGCAACATGGCTCTCTGTCCTACTATTCCCCTGTCCTACCTCAAACTACTCTCTTTGTCTAGTTTTTCTGGGGCAACCTAGAAATCTTGGAGATATTGGTACAGACGAGTCACCATATTTTACCGATTTACTCATGTGATTTGGAATTATTTCAGGCCAACATGGACAACAGAGTGAGCAGGAGTTGGCGACCAAAATGCTGCAGATACAGAGCAAGCGTTTCTACCTCGATGTCAAACAGAATAGACGCGGAAGGTTCATCAAAGTCGCTGAGGTGAAGATTATTTTTTAAATCTTAACGACATGAGGAAAACCAATGGGAAATTAATTCCTGATTATTCTTCTTTTTGCTTGGTTTAAGATCGGAGCTGATGGCAGACGTAGTCAAATATTCTTAGCCCTAAGTACAGCGTCAGAATTTCGTGATCATCTCTCAACGTTTAGCGATTTTTATGCATCGCTAGGTACGCCAATTTCGTATTGACAATTTTGTGAATTGTTTATTCGTTTATTTCAAAGAAATTAATGAGAACAGGTCCCCCCAATCCGGAGAATGTGCCAGACGATGGAAAGCTCAAATCCGAAATGATGGTGAAGGACAATAGGCGATACTACCTGGACCTCAAAGAAAATTCCCGTGGTCGTTTCCTGCGGGTGAGTCACCCTGTATGTACCAAACACAATATGAGTATGACAAAAATTTTTTTTTCTGTAGTTAACGAAAATGTTATTAAAACAAGGTGATATGTATCATTTTCATCGACACATAAATCTGGGAGATTTGAGTTTTTTTTTTCCTCACTGTGGAGGGAATTTCTATTGTTCAATGAGGAAAATTGGGGTTTGCAGGTGTCACAGACGATAACACGAGGCGGACCTAGAACACAGATAGCAATACCTGCACAGGGAATGATTGAGTTTAGAGATGCACTCACGGATCTACTCGAGGAATTTGGCATCGACGACGGGGGATTCAAGGGTGATTTACCAGAGGGACGTTACATGCGCGTTGACAACAAAAACTTCTACTTTGATATTGGACAGAATAATCGCGGTATCTACATGAGAATTTCAGAGGTAAACAGATATATTCGCTTGTTTACTTTTAGGAGATCATTCAAATAGAAATATTGAAACTTCTGGGAATGACTCATTCAAATAGAATTTTGATATATTTTGTTACTGAAAGATCGTTCAATTCCCCAATTCGCCACTGGAATTTTAGTAATCCCCGAAGAAATTTCACGAACGATTTTATGTTAAATTGAATTCCACTTCACAACATTGGAAATTCGATTACAGCTATGACACGAATTTCAAAAAATTTCTGATAGGGAAAGGAAAAGCGGAAATTCAACTTATGAAATTTACTTTCACTTCTGAGAATTGAAATATGAAGAATGGTCGAACATGAAAAACTCAATTTTGTTGAATTTTCAAGGAGAATAAAATGAACTATTTCATCTCAAATTGAAATAAAATTCACGACATTGGGAATTTAAATGCAGTGAGGACACGAATCTCAAAATACTTCTGATACCGTAAATAACTTCCCTTATCAGTTAGCTAAAAATAAGTGGAAGTTCCACTTATGAAATTAACTTTCACTCATGAGAATACTAGACGTCACTGAAATATCAAGAATGAGTGCATATGAAAATCCAAATTTTATTGAATCCCCAAGAATAAGAAATTCCATAAATGATTAAATCTCAAGTTGACTTCAATTGTCATTCTTACTTAAATTATAAAAAAATCCAACAGTCCCACTAGAATTATTAAATGTGCAATTTCCCTCCTCAGAAAATTGAATTCACATAGAAAAAAAGTCTGAAAATATTCTTCGAAAGACGTTCATTCATGAAGACTTAATAATAAATTATTGAATTAAAATCCAACTCAATTAAAATCCAACTCCTTTCACCCCTTGAATAAACAATTATCGTATTTGCCCTCAGGTCAAGACAAACTTCAGAACGGCCATAACGGTGCCCGAGAAATCCTGGTCTCGGTTTCGTGATATATTCGCAGACTACTGTGAAAAAATGAAGGAGGGTGGTGGTGGTGTCAGTATGGGTGGTATGGGCCCCGGTAACGTAATGTCCGATGTCAAAGGATCAGGTAGTGGTCAGCAGGCCTCATCGCCATCATCCACCTCACAGCAGCCTAATCCGAATCCAAATTTAGATTCCAATTTGATCAAGTGAAAAAGGCTTTAACTTAACCAACAAATGAGAAAAGAAAACGAAGAAAAACAAAAACATGAAAGAAACAATTTAAAATGATAAAATTATTTTAAACAAAATCCATTGGAAACTGATACCGGTAGGATATAGAGTGATGAAGAAAAAGAAAGAAACTCGTAATCACGTCGTTCATCGTTAATATTTTCTTCGCTGTCGTCCTATTTTATCATTGCCATCGCCATTCAATCATCATCATTGTATTAACCTAATCTTCTTTACTTAACGAAGATGAAAGTAATTCACACATTATTTCTTTTTCCCATAAATCTCCAACGACTTTTCCATGTCAAAGAATAAATTTAAACAAATTTAATCGAATTAGAAATGTTGATCGTATGAATTTAATCGAGCGTTACGTTGAAACAATTTGAATTTGATCGTTAAGATTTTATGAATAACGAAAAAAAATAATATGAATTGTTATAATTGTTATTCGACATGGTGTAAAAACCTAATTTTTCATTTCCTTTATACTTTTGGTGAGAAGCATGAGTAGCGGCAGCTTTATGAGAATAATTATCAAAGGGACTTCTACCTCGACTCTCAGCAGATGAATGAACATTCAGTCCCTCGGACATTAGCATCATCATTATAAACAATTAATATTATATTGAAAAATAAAGCCGAATGATGATGTAATGTGCTCGTTATATGACGTTAATTACCCTGAGTTTATTCAAAAAATGGCAAATGAACGGAAGAAACGTACAACGTGAAGAAAATTCGTGGGACGAGTTTATTTCTATATAAAATCAACCGTGAGAAATTTTTAAAAAATGAATACGCTTTCATTCTGCAATGCTGTGCTAATATCAACAATTTCAATAATGAAATAAAAATAATATGTAATTGCGTTCCCATTCTATTCAACAAACATCAACAACAAGAAATTAAAAAAAAACAATATAAGGGTGGAACGACGATTAAATGTTTAAATAGTATTTCGCGCTGGTGCGGAATCCTTAATCATTAATTATTGATTAAAAGTAGTTGAGGTGGATTGTATATGCATTACAGATGGAATAAAAAAAGTGCTATTTAATTCGGAGCATGGTTGACACAGCCCGTGCGTTATTAAAGATAAAAGAGCAGATGAAAAAAAAAAATAATAGAAAAGAAAAACTAATTAAAAATAATAATACAAAGGGAGATGATTAAAAGGAAAAAAAGAAGAAAATTTATTTATATTTTAGCTGTTTGAATTATTATCTATTCCAATTAGATATTTCAATTTTTTGCATTCTCTTATTATACATTTAATTCCCCCCTTTTTCTTTCCAAAAAAAAAGAATCAATCAATTTCGGCTGGTCTGAATTTATCTAGTATAGGAGAATATTAAAACAAATTCGATAATATTAAATCATTCACAATAGGGACAGCATTATCTCTGTTAAGAGATAATGACTAAGAGAGCGAAAGAGAGATTAAATATACGCATGTGTTTTGGCTTTGATCAAGAGCCATCAGGATATTCAATCAATTGCCTGCCAATTCATTCGTTTTCATTATTTCCCATTCAAATAAATCAATTTAATCCTGCCCACAATTTCAATAAAAAAAACGAAGAAAAAGAAAAGTGTTTCAAAGAATCTCTTGATCTGTTACTTCCAGTCACACAAATGTCCAAGCTTCGTGTGTGTAATATTCCCTATAACCCACGAATTTCACAAATTATTCCCCCCCCCCTCCCCCCTCCCCTCCACATTTACGTAAAGAGAAGAAAAATAATCCAAGCCAAGAGACGGTAAAAGATGTGCATAATAGATAAAGAAAATACTAGATAAAGTGATGAATGAAATAAAAAGAAAAAAAAGTGCAGGCATAGAGATATTTAAAAATGTTCACTGGCGCAGATGGTATGACACATTGTGATCTATATAAAATTAAACAAAGCATCAACAAGTAGTAAATATTTAAGGTATATATATATTATATATATATATGTTACGAATAAAACTTTAATGAAGGAAAAATAAAAAATGGAGATATATAAAACACGAAGGAGAGTAAAAAAAAATAAATCGAAATACACGATACACATTACACATTTGCGGTCTAGGGATCTCGCTGATTGTACACTTATTAAACACTAAATAATTACACTGGGGTGATGGATGGAGTAGGATATATGAAATTACACATAAAGAATAAAGAGGGAAAACAACTATTCGAGAGTACGATTGTAACGTACACAGAACACAAAGAGAAGAAAATGAAAAAGACAAAACAATTAAAATAAATAAAAAAATGTGAAAACAAGTGGACGACTACAAACGTACCTTTATCGCGGATATGACAAAGAGTAATAAAATACGTCTCAACTTCGACGATTAAAGAAAACTATAAAGATGAAGAAAAATTTAAAAATAAAACGATACACGACGCTCCTGCCACGCAGCGAGTTCTTAGACAGCTTTAAGATTACTATTGATAAATTATAAATAATAATTATTGAATAATAACGATGAACTTTCTATATGTTGAATCGTGTCTAGTGAGAGAAATGAATTAAATGATTAAAAGAAGATTTAAAGTAATTATTCAATGGTAAAATGACGACGATAAAGATGATTGCCACAATTTAATTAATTAAACAGTGAAATCAGTTTGTAATATTCAATGATTAAGATATATTTTCCAAAGTTCCCTCTTTTATTCCGTTTCATTCTGTTTAGTTTTGTTATTTCCGTGATAATAGATGGAAAAATTCATTGACAAACGTCAAAAGCAAATAAAAAAAACCTAAAAACCCATAAAAATAATGAAAAATGCTGGATGTTTCGTTGGCTGTTTTACATAATGTTGCACGGTTGATGATTCATTCACCACCGTTTAGCCAATTTAAATGTTAAAGTGATGAAAAGTAAAAAAAAAAGTATAAAAAAATTTAATAATTAACAAAAAAAAGATTAAAAATGTAGCCGAATAATTGCGATGGCTGTTTTCACGCGTGGGGTTACAATTAATTAATCAGTAATTCAACAATCGTTTGTCACGACAGTTAATGAGCAATTACTGCTACTATCGCCACCGATATTCGGTCAAGTGAACTCAGACTCATCAATAAAATAAACCATGGAGTGAAGATGAAAATGTTTTCTGTCGTCTTTGCATTCAACAAATTTGAGTAATAATGCAACACGTGCTTCCCCACGCGCGTTAATTATAGAGAATGATGAAAAATTGTAAAGGTGACTATTGTCGATTGACTTTTGTTTGCCCGATGAACAATTCGCTGCCGAACATAACGAATTCTGCGATCTATTATAATCTCAAAGGAGCATTATATCACATTAATTAATCTGATTTATTATAAATATCATACTGTGGTTTAATAGTATAATTTGATGCCAGCTTTTCTCAAATTTTTTTTGTTTCTCTTATTAATTCATCTAGTCCCGAGCGTTTCATCTTGATTTTCTTTCCTTTCATGCGCTTTCACCCTAGTTTTCAATTATTCTCTTGCATTTTTTTCAACGTATTCGTTCTGTTCTGCTTCTGACGTACCGTGTTACAGTCAATAATTACATAAAGAAAAATTAAATTAAGAAACACGAGAGACCACGAACGATATTAAAAACAATTAAATGTAGAATAAATTTTTGGGAGAAAAGTTTATAGGCAATTAAACTCGTGTGAGTGGATGTAATGAAAATTACATGAATACACACATTATGTTTTTACATTTGATTCCTAACAAATAATTGAAGAGAACATTTATGTATTTGCGTGACAGAAAACAGTTCATCATTAGAATAGGATTAAAATATTTTGTTTTCCCTGGTTGATGTAAGAAATTATAAACAAAAAGGTAACAGAGAATTTTTCTTTTATAATAATTATTCGTGTGTATATTTCTACCCTCCCACAACTATCATCTCAAAGCTAAGAGAAAGGTGATGAATTATCGAGTTGAACTATTCAAATAATTAATTAAAAACTTCGAATTATTTTTTCGTTAATTATGTATTTGGGGGGACAGGTGTAGAGATGTAATTGGGGAAAATTTTTTTTATAAATAATTGGATAATAAAACGATGGGATAATCCCATTGAATGTGCATGGATTCTGAGCGTAGAAAAGAATAGCACATCACTGCCATGTTCTTAAATTTCAAGTGAAAAATTTAATGATTAAATAAAAATCGTCCCCCTCCCCAGTCTCTTGAATTTTCCAATTAATTTCGTACAAATAAAAAACTCGCTGCATTAAGAAAAAAAATTAGTGAATAAATTCAAGTGCAAGAGCGTCGTGAGGAGAAAGCAATGAAGACGTATGAAATATATATATATGTAAAAAAAAATAATGAAAAGATAATTCGTAGCACGGTAGTATGAGTGTTCAAACGAAGAATTAATTGACGATTAATTAATGAAGAATAAAAGAATCACGTTTCCGTTTCCTCTGACAGCACACGGTTGAAGACAGATTTAAAAGAATAATGAAATAATGATGGTGATGGTAGCTACAGGCCTGAACTGTTTGTTAAATAAACAAAAAACGCGAGAAATTTCATTTTAATGGAGAAATATTTAGTGTAAATGTACGTATGTAATTAATTCCCAATTGCACACGACGTACATGAAAGCGTTGATTCAGAACAAGAATGAGACAAAATTTATGATTAATTAATTACTATTAATGAAAAAAATTTAAAGATGTACTTTACTGAAGAATTGGGTGGAAAATAAAATGCAGATCAATGGTTTTAGATAACTCGAGTCTATTCACATTTTTTTTTCATTGAAAAATAAATTATTTCAATTACATCTGTACAATTTATTAAATAAAATCTCTCACGTAATTCGACAATTCCTCAAGCCAATTTGGATAGTGTAACATTAGAATTAAAACTTGCTCTGTATTTTTTAAGTACATGTCACTGAGTGACTTGAGAATATATTTCTTTGAACTTTCAGTGTGATATTTACTGTCGATCCTCAGTAATGCCACGTATGATTGCAAATGTGTTGGATAGAGGTCGAGAGTCATATTTTTACTATTACGATGAGACAGTACGTTTCTTAATACAAATTGAATGTAATCAATCACCAATAAAGGAAGATCACAGTGTACGAATACTTGTTTCAGAATGCCAGAGGCTAGTTGAAATAGCCTCGGAGACGAGGAAATCAGAGTAATCATTCTCTCGAATTCATCTGAAGTGGATAATTGTCCTTTAGTTTTCAACGTCTCAAAATTCATGATAAAATTATCGATGAGAGGAGTCTCGATAAATTGTTTGGCGTTTATAGCGTGGAGTTTATCAACGAGAGAGGGCTCTAGCTCCAGTTCGTCTCGACTATTCAACACATCATTCACGAAATCATAAGTCTCATTGCAGGACAGTTCAGAGGATTCGATTTTTTCTAGGAACATTTTGAAATGACGAACATAAACTGCGTTCTGTTTTGACAGATTAAAGAGCAATTTTCCTAATTTGACTAGATTCTTTGGAGTATTATTTTGATTTAGGAGAGTGTCTCTGTTGAGATATTTTTTAATGAGGATCAGGATGAATTCCGCCATGTTTTCACCCTGGTGAAAGGTGGGGTAGGTACTGAGACCCAGAGGGGGCTGAATCCAATCCCTCATTAGCTCCTGCAATCGAAAGGGAAAAAACTGAATAGAACAGCGAAAAACTCCTCTCATGAGTTGAGTTTTTGTTGAATATATTTAATATCTTGGAAGTTAAGAGCGATTGGAATTTTCATGGGGGTTTTTAGAGTTGAGACAACAACAAAAAATCCTCATAAAAATTTCTCTTCGCCAATTAACTCAGAGATATTTAAAAAAAACAAAGACTTTATTTGAAGAAAATTGAGTCGTCCTGTTTCCAGACATCAAATACTGATGAATATCCCTTACAATTATCTGAATCCTCGCTGAATACCTTTGGTAGGCGTCTGGGGACACTTTATAAGACAATAACTTGCTCAACGAGCTCGCAAGTGCACTGACTGAAGTCTGATCAAGCACAGGAAAACTATCAACCACTTTTTCAATTTTTTTCTTCTTCTCGAGTTCTTTCATGACACTAGTACAACTCTCGAATATTTTTTGGAGAATTTTTTGATCCATGTTTGTCAAATTTTCCTACACGTCTTCATCTATTTCAAATCGCGTTTGTTTACGAATCGGAAAGATCGAGGTTATGGATCAGCTGTCATAATTACTTCGGCGAAAATCCCGCGCATTTACGACCGAATGGAGTAAGATCTTATAATTATCTAGATATCGGACTGTCAGAAAACTCCCCAAAAAGAGGGAAATTTAGCGCATCGGACATTTTTTTCCCGTTTTGAAAAATCGCAAGAAGAATTAATAGAATTCATAAATGAGGAAATGAGTGAAATCACTCACCGGCGTTGGATGAAAACAACTGCTCCGTTTTCACCTCAGCATCTGCTTATCTCCACTCCAATCCATGACGTTAATCCCTCGAAGGCACTTAATTTAATTTTCATTTAAAATTGAATTTTAAAACACTTAATTTTTTCCACAAGAAACTTTGAGATTTTTTTTCACACACACTCACAACACTGATTTTAATATGAAATTACTTTTTATTTGAACCATTATTTTAATTTAACTTTAAAACACTCGATTTTTATCCACAAGAAAATTTAAGATTTTTTTAAAACACACACTCACAACACTGATTTTAATATGTATGGAATTAATTTTTATTTCAACTATCACTTTTTATTCACTCAGGATTTTCAGAAAAACCGCCAAAAATGACGCCATCTTGCATAATTATCAAAATGTCGATATGAAAGTAAAAGTCAGAAACACTTCAACACTTTTCACACTCCCAAAGTCTCAAATAATTCCTTTATATTCGTTGTCACCACTTATTTCGTACTTCAATTAAATTTTTCATTCGTTAAAAAGTCTGTAAACCCCACAAAAGGTGTAAAATCCTATTTTTCTTGTCCAGAATGACACAGCAGGCGCCATCCAGCGACGCCACATGACTTTTCATTCTCATATTTCGCTGTGTGGAATGCAAATATACTCTTGAAGCTCATAATTCGTGAGAATAACCGCCGATTTCATCATCAAGTTCTGATTGTCTGTTGTTGTAACTCAATTATAGGATTTTTTATAATTATTTAGGTGTTTTTACCCTCATTGTCCTCGAAAATACACAGAGCCAAACGCCAGACTGTTAATTCGGTGTAGAGGCCAGTCGCCATTTTGGATGTGCGCGGAGAGGTTGCGCACCGAATGCCTTTGTCCCGTGAATACTTTCATTTTTACACGCTTATTATGCTTTTACGACACCAGAATAAGAGTCAATTTCATTATAAAATCGTAATTAGCTGTTGTTTATACTTGATTATCGCAAAACTGATAATTATTTCATGAATTTTACCCTTTTTTTCCTCGAAAATACACGGAGCGAACGCCAAACAGATCATTCAGTCCAGAGGCCGGCCGCCATTTTGGATATGCGCGGTGAGGTTGCGCGATAGACGTTTAGGCGCGAGAATATTTTTACAAGCTAATAAGGCTTTTACGACACCACAAAAAGAGTCCATTTCATGATAAAATTATAATTAGCTAGTGTTTATGATTGATTATCCCCAAACTGATTATTATTTAATTAATTTTACCCTCTTATTCCTCGAAAATTCTCGAATGTTCTTGACGTGTGAATATTTTTATACATTAATAATGCTTTTATTGGCCCAGAATAAGAGTCAATTTCATTATAAAATCGGAATTAGCTGTTATTTGTACTCGATTACCCCAAAACTGATAATTATTTCATAAATTTTACCCTTTTTTTCCTCGAAAACACCGGGAGCTAACGCCAAACAATTCATTCAGTCCTGAGGCCGATCGCCATTTTAGATGTGCGCGGAGAGGTTGCGCACTGGACGTTTTTGGCGCGTGAATATTTTTTCCACGAGAATTACATGACAATAATGCTTTTATTAGACCAGAATAAGAGTCAATTTCATGATAAAATCATAACTAGCTGGTATTTATAATTGATTATCCCAAAACTGATAATTATTTAATTAATTTTATCCTCTTATTCCTCGAAAATTCTCGAATGTTCTTGGCGTGTGAATATTTTTATACATTAATAATGCTTTTATTGGCCCAGAATAAGAGTCAATTTCATTATAAAATCGGAATTAGCTGTTATTTGTACTCGATTACCCCAAAACTGATAATTATTTCATAAATTTTACCCTTTTTTTCCTCGAAAACACCGGGAGCTAACGCCAAACAATTCATTCAGTCCTGAGGCCGATCGCCATTTTAGATGTGCGCGGAGAGGTTGCGCACTGGACGTTTTTGGCGCGTGAATATTTTTTACACGATAATTACACGACAATAATGCTTTTATTGGCCCAGAATAAGAGTCAATTTCATTATAAAATCATAACTAGCTGGTGTTTATAATTGATTATCCCCAAACTGATAATTATTTAATTAATTTTACCCTCTTATTCCTCGAAAATTCTCGAATGTTCTTGACGTGTGAATATTTTTATACATTAATAATGCTTTTATTGGCCCAGAATAAGAGTCAATTTCATTATAAAATCGGAATTAGCTGTTATTTGTACTCGATTACCCCAAAACTGATAATTATTTCATAAATTTTACCCTTTTTTTCCTCGAAAACACCGGGAGCTAACGCCAAACAATTCATTCAGTCCTGAGGCCGATCGCCATTTTAGATGTGCGCGGAGAGGTTGCGCACTGGACGTTTTTGGCGCGTGAATATTTTTTCCACGAGAATTACACGACAATAATGCTTTTATTAGACCAGAATAAGAGTCAATTTCATTATAAAATCATAACTAGCTGGTGTTTATAATTGATTATCCCAAAACTGATAATTATTTAATTAATTTTATCCTCTTATTCCTCGAAAATTCTCGAATGTTCTTGACGTGTGAATATTTTTATACATTAATAATGCTTTTATTGGCCCAGAATAAGAGTCAATTTCATTATAAAATCGTAATTAGCTGTTATTTGTACTCGATTACCCCAAAACTGATAATTATTTCATAAATTTTACCCTTTTTTCCTCGAAAACACCGGGAGCTAACGCCAAACAACTCATTCAGTCCTGAGGCCGATCGCCATTTTAGATGTGCGCGGAGAGGTTGCGCATAGCCGTTTTGGCGCGTGAATATTTTTACACGCTAATAACGCTTTTATCGGACCAGAATAAGAGTCAATTTGATTATAAAATAATAATTAACTGTTGTTTATACCTGATTATCCCCAAACTGATAATTATTCAATTAATTTTATCCTTTTATTCCTCGAATCGACACGGAGCGAACGCCACACCAAACATTCGGTCCAGAGCCCGGTCGCCATCTTGCGCATGCGCCCCTCCCCCGATCATTCAAACCCCGCCGCGCTTTTAATTCTTTCTTTTACCCTTTCTTTTTTTATATCACGCCGTCTGGAGTCTAGATAATTCTGTCAACTCCACCAGCCAGATGACGAGCATGCGCAGGGATCCGTGGGCAATCAGAAACCTCGTGTGACGGATTATGTCACTGATAACAATGAAATTTGTTCTAATGACTCGTCATTCCCCCCTCGATAATTCTTGATCCACTATCTCGCATGATTAATTCTTCCAAGTTCAGGATGGCTGACATTGCTGGGAATCTGAGCTCAATAAAGGAGAAGATCTTGATCGCCTGCTCCAAAAGACCACCAGTAAGTGACCAAATGATCATTTCATAATTTTGAAATTTGACAGATGAAGAGTCCAAGCGGATTATCGAGAGGCCTCGATAATTAACTTAATTCCTGTAATCGAATGATTTGGCTCCAGGAATTTTCGAATGTCACACCTCGTCTCGTGGCTGTCAGCAAGACGAAGCCCCCTAACCTGGTAATATCGGCCCTGGATGCTGGACAGCATCACTTCGGCGAGAACTACGTGAACGAACTCGTCGAGAAGGGCAATCACCCTGACATAAAGACGAGGGACATTCGTTGGCACTTCATCGGGCACCTCCAGAGGAATAAAGTCAACAAGGTCCTCGCTGTGCCCAATCTGCACGTGATTGAGACTGTTGACAGCGAGAAATTGGCAGCTGCCGTCGACAGTGGCTGGCCGAAATTCAGGAAGCTCGATGATGATAAACTTAATGTTATGGTACAAGTTAATACGAGTGGCGAGGAAGGTATTCATTAGCTTTACTTCCATCAAACTCATAATTTTGTTTAATTGATAAGTTTCATTCAGTTTCTATTGCTATTCCAGTATTATTTTTTTTTAGCTTGTGTTTAACTCAAACATTTTTTTTCAATTGCGAATTTTCATTCGTTTTAGTTTTTTGGGGATTTAAAAAAAAGTAGAGGAGTTAGGGGGCTAAATCCAATTGTATTCAATTCCTGAGGTAATTTACGATGTTTCAAGCTTCTTGGGAATGTTCAGAGGTCGTTTAGCTAAAATTTACATCAACTTTTAGCTAAATTCTACATTAATTCTATTTTTTTTAGCATTTCTTAAAAACTAGAGGAGCTAGCATTCTAATTCCAATTGCGTTTAATTCCTTAGTAAATTTCCGATCTTTCTAGGCCTTTGGGAATTCTCAAATGTTCATGGTGACGTTATTCTACAGTCATTTCTGTACGTTGGCAAATTATCCACTTGCTTGTTTTTTTTTTCAATTTAAAAAAATGAAAAATACATTTTTGTATGTTTCAAAGATTCTCTTTTCGACTGAATAACACAAATAAGTTCATAAAATGTGAACTTTGTGTGTCTGAATTTTTTTTTTAGAGAAAAGTGGCTGTGAATTGGGACAGGCCTCAGCATTAGTGAAATACGTCCTCGAGAGCTGTAAAAATCTCCATTTCATGGGTCTCATGACCATCGGAACGTATGGATACGACCCAGCGAATGGGCCAAACCCAGATTTCGTGTCCTTGGTAAAATGTAGAGAGGATGTATGCAAGGAATTAGGATTGGATAAGGATAACGTCGAGTTGTCAATGGGAATGTCGACAGATTATGAACATGCAGTGAGTATTTTCGTGAATCATTACTAAAAAAATTGATAGAATCAAATAAATAAGTAAATAATACAAATTCCATCATTTTTTTATAGAATATTAAGAAATAAAGGAGATAAACCGAAATCTTCATTCAAAAATTCCTCTCAAAATCAAGTTGACTCGTCTCGTTTCACTCCAAAAATAGACTTCTCAATTTAAATTCTATTTTCCTCTTTCAGATTGAACTGGGGAGTTCAAACGTTCGAGTGGGAAGTGCAATATTTGGAGAGAGGCCTCCAAAAGTATAAGAAATAAATCATCACTTATTTTATCGAACAGAAAAAATAATAAAACATTCAATTTTCAATTACACTGTTGGAAAAAAATTAAAATTTCATCTACTGTTGACTACTAACTTCTAAGAGAGTAACATTAAATTTAATTTAACAAAAAAAAAAAAAGAAAATGAAATTTTAAAAATTATCAGCATCAGGAAGACGAAAATTCCCTAACTTACTCGAATTTCCCAATCAAAACGTGAATGTTCAGTAAAAATTGAATGTGGATGATGAATCTCCAGTTAATAGAAAAATTGAAAATATATTGACCTGAATTTTTTCTGATTAAAGTTAGTTTTCATCTAATGATTTCACTGAAATTGAGATTCCACTGATTTCACCATAAAATTCTGAATTTTCGATGACAATTTAGATTCCTCGAAATTCCAGGGAAACCGTAATGTCATCATAATAAAAACTTTGAGGAAGTGTTCCGGAAATTTCAGCCAAGAAATGTTCAATAGTGTAGTCTCTCGCCCCTAAATACCTGGGCGTTGACTCGAGATTGCTGGCGTTGAGCCAAGGCGATGCAGCCCTCCCCCAATCAAATAACCACATTCAACTACTTTTAAATAACTTTATTTATATATGAATAGAATGGAGAATGGATGAAGGAAGCCGCGAGGCCTCGCCGTGGGCCCGCGATGATATTTCATTCTTAAAACGAACCAAAAAAACGGTGAAATAAACAAAAAAAACAGTGGGATGAGACGGGACGTGGGTCCATGGATAAATAATTATCGAGTTAATTTAACGTATAACATATATACACGAGCAAGTATCCCCAGTGGCCCCATCCAAGTGGCATTAACGATCATAAAATCATCGAGATAATCTCAGGGAGCCACCGTTACGTGTCTGCAAGTCGGGCCTGCCGTTGAACGAGGCTCAGCTTGAATTCAAATGGTATTTCAATCATCAAAAGTTCAAATGTATTTTAATATTGATCATTTGTTTTTTTTAAAAGATGTCATTGCAATGGGAAGAAGTGATGTTTTGTCAGCCTATTGCACAGTTTATTCATCCTCATCGTCACCCTTTCCTGTCAACATGTCGATGAGACTGGGGGTGTCGATCATTCCTTTCTCGTCGATGTACATGTTGTCGAAGGCGTCGTTCACTTCCTTGGCCGTGAATTTGTCGCCGAATGTCATCAGGGCGTGCCTCAACCTTTAATTTTTTTTTTAAATTTATTAAGAATTTTTCAGAGGGGAATTGATGTTCGGAACAAAAAATAACAGAAAAAACCGAGCGAATTTACGAGAAAACTCTATTGGATTTCTATTGTTTTTTGGCTAATTTAATGAAAAATATTTTACAGAAAAAATCAAGAGAATTTTATTCTTCTATACAACTTGTTCTATTGAGTTATTTTCTATAAAAATTCTTTGTGTTATTTTTTTAATAAAAAAAAATGAAATTTCCTACAAAAATGACTGACGTTCCGGTAAAACTTTGCGCCATGAATTCCCAGCCAAAAAGAACTGAAAAAATCTGGAAGATGACTTGAGAAAATGTTCTTTTTATAGAAACCGGATGCAGCGAGTTGAGAGTGATGTGAAGAGGATAAATAATCCTAAGAAATGTTTAAAAATACGAGTTGGGCATCGCCATCTTTGAAGGGCCTTGTGGCAGAGGGGTATCCAAGCAAGATGGCGGCGTCCACTTCTGTCAACCACCTCGTATTTTTGAACATTTCTTTGAGTTATTTATCTCCTTCAGATCACTTTCAAATCGTTTCCTCCTGTTTCTAAAAAGGGAACAATTTTTTTAAGCTATCGCTTGAATTTTTTCATCATTCTTTGGCTCAGAATTAATGGCGCAGAGTCTTTCCACTCCTCGAGGTTTCGCCATTGATGAAAAAAATAACAGAACTCTGAGAAATATAATGTCAGCACAGAAACTGCACTTATTAAGACTTTTTCTCTATTAATTAAGTGCTATTTAAATTAAAATCTGTTCCGAAAAAAATTTCAACGTTTACAAGAAGAAGAAATGCATCAACCTGAAGACTTTCTGAGTGAATCAATCAATTAATGAATAAATAATAATAAATAATAAATAGAATAAATCTATACTTTTGAAATCGTGTCGTTTTTCATCTTTGGTCATCAACATTTGTCGATATTTTGCAAGAAGAAATGCTCGAAGGAAAATTTTATGAGGAATAATTCGATTTACCTGTCGCCGTTGATCTTTCCGTTAACATCGAAGGTCTGGAAGGCAGCGATGACGACGTCGTCCTCATCCGATCCTGCTGTAACATCGCCAACGAGGCATAGTGAGTATCTTGAAACGGATAAGGGCCACACAGGTACATACAGGAAGACATATAGAGTGCAGGGAATTCTCGGGCGAAACACGTTCGCACGAGACTCGTTATGGGGACACGATTTTTAACACGAAACGAACAGCTTAATAATAGTTTCAGATAACGTGGGGGGATAAATATTTCAATTCTGAATTGTTTATTTCACGTTTAAAAAAATTAACAGAAAAACCTGGCGTTTTCTTCTAGAAATTATATTGAAATTCTGTTAAAATTCTATTTAAAAATTCTATCAAAGATTATACAACTTTAGTCTGACATTTCATAGGAAATATTCAATAAAGTTTGATTTTTCTATAGAAATTGATGGGCACAATTTATTTTAATTTTATCTTTCAAAATAAAATCTGAGAAAAAAATTTGAAAAATTCATGTTCATGAATTCTCAGAAGAAAAATTCCAACAGAATGAAAAAACAACATTTACAGACTTTTTGCTACAAAAAATCTCTATTTTTTTGGTGAGTTGCATAATTTTTATAAAATTCTTATAAAACTCCAACAGAAATCCAATAAAATTTCTTGATTAAAATCCTGGGTTTTTCTGTTAAATTAGGGTAGGAATTCAGTTCAGATCATTCAGTTTTGGGGGTAAGGTGCAACGATTAAGGAAAGGTCCACATTTTCATTCTTCAATAGGGGTTTCATTCATCTGACCTGGGGGATAACAAGAAACGAATGGGAGCGAGTTCGAAAATCACGAAAAAACACGTAACATTGACACAACTCTAAATATAAATATTGAAAACTCTAAATTTAGAATATTTTGTTTTTGCTTCGAGAAATGCGGCTTCCGCGTTGGTCGGACCGACTCTATATAGAGCTTCCAATACTCCTGCGTGACCCTTACCCGTCACGTAGTTTTTTAGAGCCTAATAATGTCTCGTACGCACCTCCCGACATGCGGTTGGCGAAGAGGGTGAGCAGTTGGGTGAAGTTGATGGGTCCAGGTACCTCCTCGAGCATATCGTCCAACTCTTTGTCTGTTGCGAGACGACCCACTGAGTCGAAGGTCTGACGAAGATCCTCCTTACCGATAACACCATCCTTGTCGTGGTCCATAAGTTGGAAGGCCTGAGTGAAGCGATATCTCATTTCTTCATTTTCTTCATTTAAAATGGGTTTTCTAATTGTAATTATCTCATTTACGATTGATTTCAGGAAGAAGTATCATGAGAAATTCCCCTCTAAAACCGTTTACCGAGATAATTTTATGTTTCAGACTATTTAAAATGATGAGAAGAAATAATTCGATCAGAATTTGAAATGTCATCTCCATCTTGTTCGTTATGTTTAGAATTATCTCGAGAGCGAACGGTTTTAGAGAAAAATGTTAAAGGACTTTTTTGTAGCTGAAAAAATTCCCGAAAAAAAATTCCAATTGACATTTTCCTCTAAACCTGCTCGTTATGAGGATAATTCGAATTTTAAAAACTCTAAAAAATCGAGTTTTCTCTGAACTTCATTCCGAAGACGTTTGTGAAATCTGCGATTATCTCGTAAACAAGTGGTTCAACGAAAAAATGTCACAAATAATTTTTTGTTGCTGATGAAATTTCCAACAAAAAATGTTTTATGACATTTTCGTCTAAACCCTCTCATTATTGAGATAATTCGAAGGGAAAAATGGACTCGTGTTATGTTCTAGCACTTCACTGCTGACATAATCTCCTGTGTATTCTCTCGATGAAAAATTCCCGGGTAATTTTACCTCTTTGAATTCAGCGACCTGTTTCTGAGAAAACATGGAAAATACACTGGATCCAGCGCGCTTCGCCCTCTTGGAGCCGCGGCTGCTGGCGCGCGCCGAGCTCGTCGGTGTCCCCGAAGGGCTCTTTGACTTGGGCTCCTCCTTCTTCGGCTCAGGCTCTGGTGGTGGTGCTTCAGCAGGTGCTGCTGCCGGCGCCTCCTCCTTCTTCTTGGTCTTCTTCTTCTTCTCCTTATCCGCCTAAACAATGAAATGTCCCATTTTCAAAAGAATCCTGCGTCAACGCGAAGAATTCAGTAGCGAATTGGTAAAACGGTTCAAGTCGACTCATCCCCCAGTCGAGTTTTTGAGGAATATTTCGGAATCTAAGGGAGATAGCGAAATTTTCGTTATTACATTTGTTGTAGCTCTCAACCAGCTCCACAAAAAAGGTCATAACAAAAATTTAGCTATCTCCCTTAGATTCCGAGATATTCATTGAAAACTGGTCGATAGTCAAAATTGACTTGTACCACTACCACTTCGCTACCGAATTTAAATTCGAAAAACCGAAAACCGCGAAATCATAAGTCGTCATTTAATTCCGTGAAACTGACCATCCTGATTTCTACTCAAACCGGAAGAAAACCAAAAAGAAAAAGTTTATGCGAACGCCGAGGAGTTCGCGGAGGGACTGACGGAGCCGACTGTCGAGGTGGCGAACCCCAGCCCCGGAAAATCGTTGAGGCGTCCTCAGTATCGTGTTTTGGAGGGCCTAATAATAGGCCTACCCCCAGTTGTTGACGAGAGAACCCCCTCCCCTGTACGTATATAGACCGAGCCAACCCGAATAATTTTCACTCCTCTCGAGTTACCGATATTACGTAATCCCAAAAATTTTATTTTTACAATCCTGCGAAGGCAGTGCAGCCCCGCGAGTCACTTCACTGTTTCCCATCACCATCCAATCGCCACAACAGCCGTGAAATTATTCCAATATTTCTTCCTTCACATTTCACGCGCGTAACGCTCGCCTCATCTACTTACCATGTTGAAGTTTCGTAAAAATCAAGTGGATGTTAGCGAGATGGTTAACACTAACCAACTGGCGAAAATATCGAGGTGAACTTGACTAAGTAACTTAGCTTCCCACTACCCCCACCATTAAATCAGTTAAATGCAAAGGGGGTTGCTCCGCCCGTCTCACTAAAACCCGAACGCGCCCATCTGACCATATTTAGTGCGAGCCGAACTCAAAATAGCGAACCCTTACCAACGTTTGGTTTCGACTAAAACGGTTTCAGCTCAGGAGTTTTCAGTTGTTGGAGGCTGACGGAAAAACTTATCAGTTTCTTCCGAGAGAATGAATATTCCAGCCGCCAGTATGAACATTTAAATCTCTTTCATTTCTTCCGTTCCTCATTAGTGTTGTGATTGTCACGTCAGGTTGAATTGACCTTAAGGATTTTAAAATGACATATCATAAGTTTTTTAGCAGCAGGTCAATGGGGGGTTGTTTACTTCAGTTGTTGGTTTGGTGTTCCCACGGTTTTCTAGAATTTTTAGGTCGAAATGATTTTTTGTGAATAGATGGAAATTAATAAATTGCCCTGATGAGGAGTGAATGTGCCACTTGAAACGTTCGCAAAATATTGAAAATTTAGAATTTACCTCAAGGTTGAGATGATAAAATTGCTGAGGAGCGCAAAGAAATAGGAGAAATTTAAATGTTATCAATTTTTTCGTTATTGAACTTGAATAGATGGAAATCCTCCCATTTTTTGAAAATTTTGTCAAGTTTCCTGTGCTATGTACGCACTTCTTCAGGGCAGTTTATTTTTCTGTTGAACAAAATTTCTAATTACATATATGAAGTGTGAAAAAAAACATATTATACTATTTCACGTATTGTATGGAATGAATAAAATTTTCGTAAAGTGAAGAGAATTAATAAGTAAATGATGAAAAAATATGCTAGTTTTCCATGTTATGATGTAAAATTAACGAATTGTAATCGCGATGAAACTATTCCTGATGAATTGTCCAGTAATTAATTAACTTCCTCTGTATTTTTTGTTAATAATAGCAACAATTGTTCCAGATGCAAACCGAGTTTTCATGAAAATTCCTCGTCGAAATCTGAAGCCAAAGCAGAACTGACATTTCCCCTTTCGAAATTTCTATTTACAGATCAGTTTTTTGAAAATATCTCGGAGTTCCCAGGGACACATGAGACATTCCCTCTAGCTCTGAATTTCCTCTGAGAAAATTCCTCGTGAAAAATTTACCAGACCGAAATCCCAATGTCTCATTTTACTTCAGAATTCGGGTCAAGAATTTCTATTCTCGTAATGTTTATCTCGTTTTTATTCATTTCTCCATAGAGGGAAACAGTTGGTGAGGTAATGGGCTTCGATAATTTAGCGTGTGACCCTTTTGCTGGGTCTCGATGCAGTATTCGAGCACTTGACACAAGTGCTGAAGGTATCGCACACGTGGCTGGTGGTTGTCTTGCTGCTAACAGGTCGCTTCTTCCTCCTGCTGGGTGTCTCTGTGGGATCTGATGCCAATTGAGAGGTGTCTTGATGATTTGGCGGGTGGCCCAACGGCATTGATGCACTCCGCGATGTACGAGTCACTCTGCTCCTCCTTTAATTGACGAAAATGTTCAATTTTAATGGATTTCTCGTGTTTTCTTCGAAAAATGTTCAATTTAAATGGATTTCTCTTGTTATCTTCGGCTCTATCTCTTACTCTGTTCGAATATTTCTGACTCTCGGCTCGGATTTCGAGGACATTTTGATGGTTCTGGGGGATGAAGAGTCTTCCCAACAGGATCTAGTGAAGTGTATGAACAAATTTAGCAGAAAAATTTAGCGAATTCGTTGGAATTCGTTAAATTTTTTCTAGAATTTTCTCGGCTCAATTTTCTAAGTTTTTTTGCTTGATTTCCTTGATAAAGAGAAAAGAAAAGAAAAATAGAATTTAAAAATTTGAAAAATTTGAGCCGAGGAAATTCTATGGAAAATATCTCAATAGAATAAATTGTATAGAAAAATCGATTTCTATTAACTAGAAATATTATCTGTTGAATATTTCAATAGACATCCAATAGAATTATCTAACGAATTCGCTAGGTTATTCATTTAATAAATTGAAAAAAAAATTCTAACAAATTTTAAAAATTAAAAAAATTCTATAGAATGTTGAAAATCTAAAATTCTATAGGATTTCTATTGAATTTTTCGGTAATTTTCGCCGGCAATTTTCTACAGAAAATATTCTATAGAAAAAATCAAACCAATTTGTTTTTTTAAATTGTTGTCCAATTTGTTTTTGCTATACAATTTATTGAATGAAAAAAAATCGAATAGAAAAAAAGCAGAAAAATTCGTGTGCAATAAAAAAATCGTATGGAAAAACGAAATTCTGCATATTTTTTCTATAAAATAATTTCTATTGGAATTTTCAATACAAATTCAATGAAAATCAGATAGAGTTTTCCATCGAATTCGCTGAATTTTCCTATCGAACTATTTCGTCGGGATTTTACTGATAATCCGAAGAATCAGAGCTGTCAGATGTGTTTATCGTGGTTTCGCTGGACTCGAGAATGTCAGGTGATGCAGACCGGAAGCCCGAAGTTGACGAGTAGTTGGACCTAGTTGGCAAGTCGTTGAGCAGGGGCGGCATGAGGACTCGGTGATTCACGTCTGTCCACCAGACCACACCGTCGTAATCCGATTGTTGCCTTTTCAAAGTATTTCGAAGGCAATTTTAATGCACGTATTTTTAGATAGTGGAGGAATGTAAATAGCTGAAGGCTAGTAATCGTTTCGCGAGGGGAAGAACATGCGTTTGCGCGGGGGTGGAGGGGTAAAATCAAAATCAAAATTGTATACGAATTTTAGGAGAATAAAGAGGAGCCACGTGATTAGGAGGTAGAAAAAGTAGATTGTTATGTACAGGTCTCGGTGGTCTTCGCGGGGTTTTCGCATCTCGGGGGGTGTTCTGGGGGATTCAGGGACGTTCTCTCCGTCCGGTGATCTAGAATAAATGGAGATTCCTTTTGTATTTCGTTTTTTAATTATAAAAAACGCCCGAAATGTAAAAAAAATTGCGCCAAACTAATTCACAGCCAAAAGAGAATGAACAAATCTAAAGAATAGCTTGAGAAATTTGTTCCTCTGAAGAGGATAAATAAGTTCGAGAAATATTTGAAAGTACGAGGTGGTTGACCGCTGTGAGTGCGGTACCACCTCGAATTTTTAAACATTTTTTAAAATTATTTATCCTCTTCAGATCACACTCAACTCGCTTTATCCTATTTCTGCAGGAGGAACAAATTTTTAAAGCCATTTATCAGATTTTTAAATCTCCTTTTGGCTGAGAATTAATGGCGCAAAGTTTTTTCCGCAGTTTCTTTACTTACTCGCCTCTTAGATATGCAATTATCTCGATAAAGAGTGGATTTAGCGCAAAAAGTCATAAAATATTTTTCGTCGGAAATTTTATGAGCGACAAAAAAGTTCATATGAGATTTTCTCCTAAACCCACTAGTTTTCGAGATAATTCCAAAAAGTAAAGATGTAAAAAAATCAAGTGCCTGAAATGTGAATAAATTAATGAGCCAAAACCTGAATTAATGACTCACACATCATCTTGACAAATCCTCTGCTGATACGCTAAATTAGCCAGATAATCAGGCTCCAGAACCCTCTTCCTCTGGACATACCTGTAACTCCTGTCCGACATATTAATAACCATTTCCCCTTGAGATATCCCGGAGCCGAATGAAAATACTCACGAGCACTTGACGCAACTGCACTTGCAAGGCCCCCTCTTCCCCATTTTACACGCCTCCAATTTTTTCCGTCGTCTCCTCAATCTCTTGGTTATCACCTCCCTCTTAGCCCTCCTGCAATATTCATCTGTCAGTCCCGCGAACAATCAGAATCAACCCTAAAAACTAATTACGCTACTCGGCCCATCCAGCCTCCGACGAAGTTTAAAGTATTTCTCGTCAATTTCTTCACGAAATCGAGGGAGATTACGTATCCGATGGACTCGAGTAGCTGACCAATGTGCAGCTGTTTCCAGGCCATTGTGATGTACGGAATTCTTCAAACAGCAATTTAAATCTTGTCTGTGGGGGTTATAAACATGAAAAGAAATACGAAAACGTCAAATTGGGGAAATAGTTGACGTTTGATTTTGAGTGGGCGCTTGGGACAGTGGAATGTATTTTTAAACGCTTTAGAATGTCGGAAATACAACCGTTAGGTCTTGACTGCAGCACATGTGTATTTTTTCAAATGCAAAATTTTTTTTTCACGACACAACAAAATTATGAAGAGATCCTCACATTTTTCTCTGAAACTACTGAATTTTTAGATGAATCTCAATTGATAAAACGTTTTGATTAATGTTTGTTTGATTTTCTTAATGAAAAAAAAAAATTGAATACAAAAAACTAAAGAATTGTTTAGCGAATTCGCTAGCTCTTTCTAGTAAATTTTTTCCTTCTCGTCATTATTAAAATTTTTACATGTTTTGATGACCAAAAACCGTCTGGATGAATAAAAATGTTTAGATCGAGTTTAAATGTTACTTTCATTTAACTCGATCTGAAATAGATCAAAAAATGAATAATGGAATCATCAGTCAATCTATTCCTCTGCAATGCGATCGAAGTAACGGGTTTTCGCGCGCCTCAAGGCCCCGCTCCCCACTATGATCTCGAGCCCGTTGGGCCCGAGAATAAGAAAGTCTCGAAGTAAAAGTGGACAGCATGAACAGACCAGCAGAACATAGCGGAACAGTTGAGAATGAACAGTCGGAAGTGCGTGATACGCATTTATTAGTCATGGGAAATCGAGACTCCACTTGAAAATATGTTTTGGTTTCTTCTTCTAGTCCTCGGTAAACTCGGTGAAATTTCATTCGTAGATTTTCTCTATTGTTTGCTGATCTTTGTTTGTCCCGGATTGCAGTGGGTAGTGGAGATGGGCTCAGGCTGGCTTCGTACATATCGTCTGGTGGGTTGCACGGTGAAATTCGCTTTGAACCGGGAACGGATGATGCATTGAGGATCCGTTTGGCGTTGAAAGCCACTCTGCAGTATCCAGATCAACAGTGGACGTGGGCCGTCACTAGATTTCCGGTTGATTACACGAGGATCGAGGATCGATGCAGCGATCAATATTTGGGGGAGACGTATGTGGTTTGATTCGATTTCCGCGGGAATGCAGGCATGCATGTTCATTCATATTCATGCCTTTCCGTAAGGATGAGCATTCCTCATTTTTATGAAGGCTGGAATAATTTTATTTTGGGTTGAAGAGGTGAAAAACAGGTTTAAATGAGCATTCTCGTTTTTTATACCAGTTAAATGTGAATTCAGGGGGAATATGAAAATGCACTGTTAGAAAAACGTTTGGAATTCCTTGGATAGGTTCATAGTGATGTTGAGTTTAAATACGCAAGTGTATTTAAATGTATGTATATCAAATTACGCCAAATTTCCGTGATTTCTATAAATTTTCATGGAATAACTGAACTGAAATTTACAGTTTTCATAGATTTTTCCATCAAATTGTGAATCGTCAACGACGAAATTCCTTGAAATTTTATTAGAACTATATGCGATAAAATTTCCCAAAGAAATTTGGGTCAAAAAGTTTCACTCACTGAATTTTTGATGAAATTGGATTTTTTTTCCTCCAAAGGTGCAATCTTTTCCCTTCATGACGACTATAGACTAAACTTAATTAATCAATGATTTTCTGAGTTGTGAACATTAAAAAATAGAAGTCTTCATTCTGTCCCCCTTCCTATCTGGCGAATTGGGAATTTCGCTATTAAGAAGCCATTCTTCCCAGGATAATTGACCTCACAGAGCACTTGGGTCCCCTCACGCTCCCGGGAAACGAGACGAGTGTCTCCGAAATCCCGAACATCGCGCTGACCGGTGAGAAGGGCCTCTGGGGCAAAGGCCTGGTCCTTCGGGAGATCTATTCCCCGCGAACGATTTGCGCCTCGATAACGGTGTTAGAAAGAAACGCTGAGAAAAACGCAGAGGCGCGGTTTCACGGACCAGTGGCGGGATCCGTCTGGTTCCGGTGGCTGGGCGGAACCGCCGGTGACTCCACCACAGACACGATAATCTACGCGGATCTCCATCACACGTCCAAACAGAAGCTGCAGAGTGTCGCCTTCACCGAGCACAACTGGAAAATCTACGTGACTGACATATTTGACTCGGGGAGGGACAAAAACGACTGCAGAATTCTGCAGAGCGTTTTCGATCCCGACGACTTGGGGCCGGGGAGGTCCATTGGAGATGTGGACTCGAGGCTGGGGAAGATCAGAGTCGCTGTGGACACGGGGAAGAGGTTCAAGACTGCTTACAGGGACACTGTGATCTCGCTACTGCCCTCTGATCTTCTCGGAACACATCGATCGCTTTATCTAGTTGTGTTTCATCCCACGCATCCGGATTCCGTTCTTGCCTGTGCGAGAATCAAAAATCGGAAGTTTATATTGGCTAAGTATGTACTATTTTGAGGTAAAATGACAACATATTTAATTAAAAACATGTTTCATTGGAAATTTCGCTTTGCAAATAGTTTTCCCCACAAATTGAAAATTCCATTTTTTTAAAATTGTGTTTTCTTTCGATTTCAGGAAAGAAAAGATTTTTACATCTCATTAAATGTTGGAATTGAAAAAGAAATGTCAAGAAACATTTTCGGTTGCAAATTTTTCGCTCTGTAAAAAAGTTTTCCTGATAATTTCAGTTTTTTATTTTTTTTTCTCCTTAATTTATTTTGTTTCATTAATTTTTAATGAAGAAAAAAATTTACATCTCAATAAATATTGAATTTTAAGAAGAAATGAAAAAGAAATATTTATAGCTTGAAATTTTTTACTCTGCAAGAAAATTTTCCTACGATTTCCTCTAAAAATTTAACATTTATCGAGACATAATTTTTTTTTTCATTGAAACTGCAAAAATTTTTGCTTCATTAAAATTGCAAAAAAAAATTTCATCATAATCAATCAACAATAATTTTTCAATTATTTTTGTTTCATTATAATTACAAAAAAAAATTCATCGTAATAATTCAATCATAATTTTTCATTTTTTTTTTCATTAAAATTGCAAAAAAAATTTATTAATCTCCTAGGAGTTTGGTATCCTCTCACGGTCTCAAGGGCGACGTAACATTCACCCAAGAGACCCCGTACCACCCGACCTGGGTAAACGTCTCCCTGCACCCAATAAACGACCTGGAAACTCGTCTCCGATATGAAACGAAAATCGCAGCTTATAGAATTCACGATCTACCCCGGGACCCCCGTGACACCAATCACCAAGTGGGGACTGAATGTCTGAGCACCAAAGGCTTGTATAATCCCGGGAAATTAGACGTGAATGCAACTCCCCCCGCTGGATTCGGAACGCAAGATCAATACGCGATTGGTGATTTATCGGGAAAGCTCCAGGGGAGGAGAGAGGGCACTCAACACCAGGACATTCTTCCTGGGAGTGCGAAGTTGAATGGGATTTATTGGGATATATTTTTGCCGTTGTCTGGGAGGCACAGTGTTCTTCACAGGTCGATAGTATTGCATAAGTGAGTCAATTCTAAAGATATTCATTCGTTTATTTTTTTCAATAAATTCATTTCAATTTTTTCAAGATGATAATGAGACAGGGGAAAATGTTTTGAAACATTTTTTTGTATGAAAACATTTCATAGAAAAACTCAATAGAATTCGATTTTTCGACACAACTCATCTTATTGACATATTAACTTCCCGATCTATAGGGAAGTTATTTTTCTATTGAAATTACTCGGCTCAGATTTGTCAAGTTTTTTGTTGATTTATTTAATGAAAAAACAAGAAAAATAGCTTGAAAAAAAAGATGAAAAATTAATTAATTAATTGGAAATATCTCAATAGAAAAAATTGTACTAAATCTACTGATTTTTTTTAATTAAATAGGTCATTAAATTTTCCATTGAACATTTTCTGTAAAAAAAACGCAGTGAATCTAAAACTAATGGAATTTCTAATAAAAGCTAAATAGAAATCCCAATTATGGAATAATCCAATTTGAATAATGCTAATTATTCAAGAATTATTGATAATTTATTCTTCACTCATAATTCATTGATAATATTTATTATATTAGGTACAACGAGACTGATAATAAGGGAATAATTCCTTGGATATGTAGTACGATCTCCCAGCATTTATCTCAGACAGCTGGACAAATGCCAATGCTGACTGCACAGGCTGTATTCAAATACCCATTGGTAGGAAGAATTCTATTCCGTCAGCCGCAGAACGAGCCTGAGAGTGACACCGCTATCATAATCGAGAATTTAATTCACGCTGACGGAAGTGCACTCAATAATTCAGCTGAACACAGGTCAATTATCCACACAAATCGCGCCGTATTTTTTTTTGTTTTAGAAATTTTTCCTTTTGAAGGGAAAAATTTAATTGATAACTTTAGCGAATTTGCTAAAACATTCTATTAAAAAATTCGAAAGCTCTTCTGCGCTTTTTTCAATGAAAAATATTCCAGAGAACAAATCAATAGAATTCAATTTTTTTATGCAACTTATTCTATTGAGATATTTTAAAATGATTCCAAATGTTCTTGTTTGATTTTTAAAAAATGAAAATACTTCGAAAATTGATGTTGTGAAATTCATAAAGATGCGGAATTCTTCAGTAGAATTATTCAAAAAGTAATAAAATTTAAATACAAGTTCAATAAAAATCCTATAAAATTTTCTATCGAATTCGCAATTTTTTTCTCAAAATTTTGTGTGGTTTTCATTATTCTGAAAAAAAATGATGGGGTCTATTTGATTTCTTCAGATGGATGATTCATAATAATCCCCCCGGCAAAGACTACTACAACTGGACAGCTCGATGCCTGAGTGCAGGTGCCCCATACAATCCCCACAAAATAGAATGGGATCCAGATCACCCAGAGCGTTGTTCCCAAGAAGAAGTGAATCTCTGTCGTCTGGGGGATTTATCACGCCACGGAACCCTCGACATTGCCGGGAGGAAGGCCGAGGGACCGAGGATCAGTAGAAAACTATTCACAGATTCATCACTGCCCCTGTCCGGTCCTAACTCCATTCTCGGAAAGAGTTTAGTGATTTACGACGATCATGGACCTGTGGCCAGGGGCGAGAGACTAGCTTGCACGATGTACGTACCCGAATTTTAAATCGAAAAATGGAGAACTTTCATTGATGAAAGCATTTCTTCATGATCTAGAATTAGCAGAGTCTACAGAAGAAAAGCAGTCGCTAAAGATTGGTTTGGAAATAGCGAACAAGTGGGAGTTCATGGGAAATTTGAATTCATCCAACAAACGGAGTACGACGTCACTGATGTCGAAGTTATGCTGGAGGGTTTGGAAGGAAAAACCGGGGCATATCGCATTCATATGGTACAGTAAACTTGAAACAATTGATTATTCATTCGTTCTCTTCATTTACATATCAATTAATCACTGAAATTCATTCATTAATCATTTGCATATATGAATTAATAATTGACATTGATAATTTTTTTTATTTAAGCTGAAATTATTTCATTCATCAATTAACTGTATGAACTCATCACTGAAATTCCTTCATTCATCAATTGAATTAATTAATTTGCCAATTGAATTCGTCCATAAAATGTCTCAATCCACCAATGAAAGCAGTTCACAATACTCTAGACCCCAGTAGAAATGGACCTAGAATTTCCCTGCGAAGCGACGAGCCTCTACGAGCCCTACAACCCCCTAAACGTCACCAAGCCCCCATCACTCTCCCCAGCCGAGGGAACGACTGATCAGTACGAGTTGGGTGACCTCAGCGGAAAGTTCGGAACCCTGGAAAAACGCAGGAGATTCACATCGACGTACAACGACACTCTCCTCCCCATATTCGGGTACCAGAGTATTTTAGGGAGAAGTATCATTATTCATAAAAAGGACGGGGACGTCCGATGGGCTTGTTCGAGCATCGAGAGAGGGTACGCGCCATCGGAAGCGAGGGAATTGAGGGCGATCGCCTCGTTTCATCATCCCCAGGGCTTCGCCTATGGCTACATGCGAATGGTATTTTTTTTATTATTTATTTATTCTTTGGTGATTACAAATGGTAAGTTTGCGAATGGTATTATTTATCTGTAAAAAATAAACTTCATGTTTAATGCATTATGAATAATCCAATATCCTTTATAAATTTTGAAAATAAAATCATCTAATTTTTCAATTAAATTCGATAAAAAAATTCAATTAAATTCAATTAAAATATCATAAATATCCAACGTCATTTAAATTATATTTTCCACAGAATTATTATTCTTTAAAACATTTGTTGTTCATAAATAAATAATTGAAACTGTTTAAACTTTTTAGATTTCTCCATGCCATGTAATTCCCATAATTATTACAGACCCAGCTCATCTACAAAGACGGCAGCCAAAGCGAAACGATAATTGAAGTTAAATTGAGGCATCCTGGTGAACGCGACAGAAATGTCGTGAGTTATCTCCACTATTAATGCATCAACGCTCAATGACGGTTGAATGTACATTAATATCTCGGCTATTTCAGACGAGGAACCACAACTGGGCAATTTACGTAAATCCGGTGGGTGTTGACGCCACAGTTAAAACTAAGGCCACACGATGTGTGGCTGGGGGGTACATATGGAACCCCTATTTCACGCAATTGGCAGATCCGCTCAATGTAAATCCCACGAGTCAATTTTTCTGCACTCAGAGATGATAAGTTTAATTTTTCACGTTGAGTACGATTTTTTTGTTGGTGATAGGAGGACCTTTATAGACAGGAATGTGGGCCTGATCAGCCCCTCAGGTGTCACGTGGGCGATTTATCAGCGAGAATGGGGCCCATTGATATTGGGCTGGAGAGGAGAGTCTTCAGCGATGCTAATTTTCCACTTGAGGGAGATATCTCAGCCCTGGGGAAGTCTATTGTGATCAAGGACCAGAATTTTGGGTCTCAACCGTTTGCTTGTGCCAATATCGAACCGGATTTTGATATTGTGAAATATGCTAATATCAGGAGGCCACCAAGATTTGTTGTGTATGTTGTCTAATTTCTCAATGTCTTATTCTAGCCAATTCAAGTGAAATTGAACAAAAAAAAACCTAGAAAACCCAGAATTCGCTAATTTTCTGAATTGATCCACAATTTTATTCATTTTTTTACCATTTCATTATTTTCTGCGAAATTCTGGAAATTACGATTTATTCAATGTCGAATGAGTCTTCAATTTCATAAAAATATAATTACTGATCATTAATCATCGAATCTTTTGAGAAAACCCCAGAAATTCTGAAAGAATCCTATTTTCTTATTCATTTTTTCAACATTTCATTATTTGCCTGCAAAATTTAAATATTTTTCAATGTTTTCATTACACTGAATTCAAGTGAAATTGACCTTGCCTCTCTCTTCATCTCTCATTATTTTATTTTCATGTACAAAACTGGGTCTGGCCATCACCCAGGCCATTTCATCCCTAAATTCACTAAATCATGACTTATTTTCCACTTCAGAGCTCAATTCCTAGAAGACGTGAGACAAATAATGGGAATTCCCGAGTGGATGTTGTCGATCGACAATAGAAAAACAAAAATCCTGCACTCTGGTGCGTGCATCCAGTTCCTCCTCCACTTTCGTGGGCCAATAGCCAGCAGAATAGAGCAGGACTTCAGTAGACTGATGTCAACAGGAAAGTTAAAAGAGCCCAGCTTATCCATCCCTGGGTGGGTCCAGCCAAAGCGAAAGAGTACCCTGAGCCACAGGCAATGTGGAACTCGTGATCCCAACGACAAATCCTTCAAATTTCCCAACTCTGCACCAAAAATTCACCTCTCCCTCGCATTGATGCTATCCCCCCTCATTAATTACATTCCATTATCAATATAATTATATTTTATTTGAATAACAACTTTACAAGACTTCTTAATTCCTCACATTTGTTAGTCGTAATAATTGTGATGCATTGAGGAAAAAATATAAGTTACAAACAATTTAATCCTTTCATCACATGATTCGTCTTCGTTATATGATACCATATATAAGCGATAAATTTCTCTCCCATAGATTTCTCTCGAATTGAGATCTGCATTATTCAATTAGGCGATTTTAAGCCTCCGAGGAGGTCCTAACTACCACAAACTACAATTTTCCTTCATAATTCTCGAGTCAGAAATAAAAAAAAATTCACAATTTGTCAGAGGCACTTGTGCCAGAAATAATTCGTTATTTCGACGAAAATAACATACAATACGAAAAAAAGAAAACCATTGAACGATGATTTCATAATTTTGAAAATATGTGCGTAGAAAAAGAATTAATCAGCTGTTGATGAAATTTTGGGACTAGATTTTCTTGAAAAAGAATGTTAACGAGTGAAATGCACATAAAAATGTTTACACCAGATGCTAGATAATTGCAGGAGCTCAGGAATACCCAGATTGTTTGTCATTTTGTTTTTGTAATTCTTATTCTAGCTCTAGACTTTAATCAACAACTGATAAATAGAAACATTCGAAAAAATGTTAGAAAAGATCAAACTCGCCGTGAAAAAATTTAATTCGACGCTGTGGCTGTCGCAGGGGCTGTGGGAGTGGTAGTGGAAACTGATTCCTCAGTCACAACTCTCCTATTTTTCTTTATCCTCTTCCATTCTCCGTTCGTGTAATTCATCTGGAAGTGTGTCTCAACGAGCATCGAGACTGTGGTTCCATCCGGCTGCACAACATCCTCGACGTTCTCAGAGAGCATAACAGTGACGATATTTCCTAGCTTTGGACAGGGATTCTCTCTGGATCCAGCCATGAACCCGAGGATGAGGGCCTTCTCGGGTCGAGTGACTTTGTTGGCTGTTCTGAACATCTCCTGGGCCTCCAGCATTTGCTCCCTCGTGAGGGACAACCCCTTTCTGGTATTTGCTGCATTGGCAGGTGGCGGATTCGTCTGGATTCGAATTTGGGTGACTGTTTGGGCTGGCCGAACTGTCTGGACGCCCACTGGAGTGGTTTCCACTGGGGTGATTGTGGGAGTGGGGACTGGAGTGCTGGGAGTGGCTGGAGTACTCGGTGTTGTTGCTGGAAATTTAATTTTTTTTAAATGTTATGACATTTTTAATTCATTTTTGAGAATTTTTATTACATTAGTTTCACTGAAATTTCTGGGAATTTCGGGCAGTGAAAATTCAAAAGTTTATGGAAAAATTAACGAAAACTGTTAATTTAGGCAAATCGGTGAGTTTTAATTTAATTAATTAATTGGAATAAATTATTCATGTTTTGATAGAAAATTCAAATAAGTCGGGGCAACCTCATCATTTTGTTGCTAAAAAATGTGGAATTTCATTAAACTTCTAGTGAAATCTGACATTGCATGATGTTTTTCCCCTAAATTGAATTTAATGCCAATCTCCTGAAAATGACTAGTCATCACGATATTACAATTTTTCCTAACAATTTACCATGAATTGTAAAATTAGATATGTTAAATATCAAAATTAAGATATTCCAAGAGGTTCTCATCAACTATTCATTCCAAATAGTATTCATTTTTAATTAAAAATAGAAATATTTCTATTAAAAAATCTGATAATATTTCCCCAGCTCCATAAACAAATAAACTTACGAGTCTGAGGTGTACTAGGTGTCGTAGGCACAGCAATAGGGGTGCTCGTAGTGGTATAAGTCTGCGTAGTTGAGGTCCCAGTAATAGTGCCGGCTGTGGCTGGAGTAGCTGGTGGGTTGATAGGGGCCAGACCCTGGGCATACTCAGGAGTGGTGGATGCCTCAGCAGGTGTGGGACTTGTCGTCGTGGCAGCAGCAGCTGCAGCCTGCGCCTCGGCCACCTTCTTCTGCTGCTCCTCCAACTCCAGCATTCGTTTCCTCTTCTTCGCCTGGGCATACCCCAGGGGCTGCTCGGTAATCTCCAGCAGTTTAATACCCCCGTCCTTTCGACTTCTGCTGCTGATCGGGGTTCTAGTGTACATCGAGGAGGGAGTGATCGCTGGGGATCTGAATCCACTCGTTGGAACTCTGCTGGGAATGCCCTTGAGGGGAGTTGTGTCAGTCATCTTTCGAGGCATTCCTCTACTTCTTACTGGAACCTGTCGTGCAGAACATTTTTTTTAACTCAAGAATTCCTTTGAAATTTTGAATGATTTCGTAATTTTTTATTCATTTAAAAAAATTGTTTATCATTTTCTAGAACATTCTGGGCATTTTGACTTATTTAATGCAAAATAAGTCTTCACTTTAGTTTTACTTTGGCTCATTAATCAATAATTATGGCTGTATTTTATATCTCTCCAGAAAATGTTATGAATTAATTACAAGAATTCATATATCTTTCAGTCAAAACACAGAATTTTCTAGAATTTCTTAATGAATCCACTGTTTTTTTAAACGTCATTTCGTCTTATTTAATGTAAAATAAATCTTCAATCTTATTAATTAATAATTACTCATTTTATATCCCTCCAGAAAATTTTATGAATTAGTTCTTATATGAATATTAATTATCATATTCATAATTGTGGAAAATAAATTTTCTGTACAAACCGTTGGGGCAGTGCTCTTCTTCAAATTATTCGCAGCATCGACACTCTTCTGTAGTAATTCAGCCCTCAATGCTGCACTCTTGGGCTTTCGTTTGAGGGTGAAATGCTTGGTTGGTGCTGGCTGTTGGCCCACCACCGATATCAGAGCTGTTTTGTTGAGGTAGTGACACTCCAGGGGGAGCATCGCCGGATCGTGCTGCTTCTTCAAGAGCTTGCGAAGGTCATTGACGAGCTCACCGAAGATGGGACGATGCTCGTCGAGGTCTGAGATGTCTGTGTTCAGGGAGCCTGTCGAGGGGAAGGTCTTCATCGCTTCGGCCAACATCGACACCCATAACTCGCTGTCCAACGAAGCCACTTCGATGATCTCCTCGAGTTCTGCTCGCCACTGCAATTTTTTAAATGACAAGAGGAATGAGACAACGAGGTGAATTAATTTAACTTTATAATTGCTGATTTTTTGTTAGATATCTTGGAATGTATGGGAGATGGAAAAATTTGTGTAAGGAATTTTTTGTAGATCTTTTTTCGCTCCATAAAAAAGGTCCTCACAAAAATTTTGCTGTTTCCCTTCCCACCTGAGATATTTGAGAAAAACTGAAGTCAAATTCAAAGGAAGAATCGTAGAATCGTTTAATTTTTTTGAGAATATTTTGGGATCTATCAGAAATGGAAAAATTTGTGTAGGAACTTTTTTGTGGATCATTTTTTGCTCTATAAAAAAGGTTCTTAGAAGAATTTGGCTATCTCCTTTCCCTTCTGAGATTTCTGAGAAAAACAAAAGGTCAATTTCAGAGAAATTCGCTCATTTGATTCATCAAACCCCTTTTCATTTCTCACCTTCAATAATCAAGTCACGTTGGACACTGATCTTTATCCCGCCATCAACGCAGATGGCGCTGCGAAGTATTTTCAAAGTTTATAAACCCAAAAACGCGGACGTATCCATTGAATTCTTCGCCACAGCGATACAAAAAATTACCCAGAAATCCCCAAAATCTACTAAAACGCTATTCTCCCCTGCGACAGTGACTTCCCCCACCGAAAATAACACAATGAATGTTGCTGACTTACCTCCTCAACATTGCGCCTGGGTATGTGAAAGAACGAAAGCAGTAATTTGAGCTTGACCTGCGTCTGAAGATCGGGAAAACAGTCCTTGATGTTTCTGAGGACTTCGGCATTCAATTGCGAACAGATTGAACTCCCCGTCCAGCTGTCGTTTGACGTTCCCAACTTGTTATGAAGCCACAACGAAGTATCACTGTCCCTCACATTCGCCATATTGGAAGTTGTGCCAGTGTGCGCTACATGACATATATAGTGCGGTCCGAGTTGCGGTGACGCCAGCGCCGATGGCGGCCGCTTGGCAGCAGCTGCAGTCGAGTCATCACGTGGTAAGTGGTAAGTGGTAAGTGGCCTCAATGTTTCTAATTCACCACCAGTCGCCTGTCGGGGGCTTTTCAATTGAAAACAGACATTATCTTTAGACATTTGTCATGTTTAGAGGCCCTAGCACGCCATTTCTCGACCCGCTCTTTCATTTGAGCCCAAAAAAACAATCATATCTTGTCTGACATCTCTACTACAAACTCTGGGACAATGTTGTCACAACTCTGCTTTTCAGTTGAAAACAGACATCCTCTTTAGAGACATTTGTCATGTTTAGAGGCCCTAGCACGCCATTTCTCGACCCGCTCTTTCATTTGAGCCCAAAAAACATTCATATCTTGTCTGACATCTCTGCTACAAACTCTGTTCTACAACTCTGGTTTCAACTGAAAACCCTTTGGCCCCAGGTGAAAATTCAAATTTTTTATTTCGACCCTTTCCTCACCTCCAAGGGTTTCATTGGCATCAGAATCGCGAGTAGATGCAGAATGAACCCTCACTCGGCGGCAAAATTCAATTTTTCCGAAAGTCGCCATTCCCCGGGGACTTTTCCGAAGATCGTCTTTCGAATTAACAAAATCAATTGCTGTTTATTTGACCAACAGCAGCGAGCATACCATCACATGGTACATGTCCCGTCCACAACTAAAATTCCCTTTATCAAACCGATAAAAAGAATCCCTAGAAACAAGTGAAGCTGCTGATGCGATTCCATCAGACAGATGTCACATCGAGTCCTCAACCCCTAAAACCAACCCCACGAACTAAAATCTCGACTAAAATGCAGCGAGTACAGCACGACTGTCAGATCGACCTGAAGACGAACGAGATTTTTTTCCTCCCGAACCGCACCCTCCTGCAGCGAGTGGGAAAATCCCTGCGAAAGATCTTGATGGCCTCCCCGGGTAATCCCCGAGCGCTCCGCTACCTGCGGAACCAAAGTGCCATAATCTACGAGTGCAGACGCCACACGCACGACAACAAATCCATCATCCACCCATTCAGCATCTTCAGGTGATTACAAAGTGGATCCCGACCAATGAATATTCACCGACGATGACTGATTGTTCCAGATACTGGTGGGACTTCCTAATGGTCCTGAACCTAGTCGGGAGTCTCCTCTCCATCCCCCACCAGTCGACGTTCGACATGGCGAGGTCCATGACCCCATCCTGGACCTTCATAAAAAATTTCTCGCTCACCATCGACTGCATCGACATTCTCCTCAATTTTTCGACAGGGTGAATAAGCAAGACCAGCCCTAAATAAATAATGCGAGTTGATAACCCCATGCATAACGCAGGTACTTCGCGAGGACCCGAAGGACAGTGGAGATGCACCCCAGGATGATAGCGAAGAGGTACATCCTAACAGGGACATTCATTCCAGATGTTCTAGGATCGCTACCAACCGATGTCTTCTTCATCCCCTCCTGGAACGACCGGACAGTGGCGCGTGAATTGTCCAGCATGATCCACATACTCCGGATATTCTCGACGAGAGTCTACATAAAGCGAGTGGCAGAGACCTACGACGTGGCCGCCGGCCTCACGGGGATCTTCACCTTCATCCCGCTGTTCGTGATAAGCGTTCACTGGCTGGCGTGCCTCAGCTGGATCATCCCAGTGGCCAAAATCTCATTGACCACCCCCCAGCCCCCCGAGGAGACATCATCCTCCTGGATCAATACCCAGGGGCTCTGGAACGCGGACAGTCAGGCGAAGTACGCAGTCGCCCTGATGAGATCGGTGACGATTCTGACGAGATCAGGCTTCTTGTCGAAGGAGCCGATCGCCGACGAGGACCAGTACATCGCCATGGCCATCCAGATCCTGGGCACCGTGACCCTGTGCTACGTCGTGAGTCAAGCGATGCTGATGTTCAAGGGTGGCAACAGCTCGAAGCTCAAGTACCAGGCGACAGTGGCCCAACTGAAGCAGTACATGCGGCACAAACAGCTGGAGCGAAACGTCCAGACGAGGTTCCTGACGTACTACGAGTTTCGTTATCAGCAGCACTTCTTCCGCGAGTCCGAGATCCTGAACACCCTCTCCTCGCAGGTGAAGCTGGAAATTGGAATGCATTCCTGCAGGAAATTAGTGGAGAATGTAACATTCTTCAACAACTTGCCGGTCTCGTTGTTGACAAGAATTGTCGCACAGCTGAAGTCCGAGATATTTCTGACGAATGACGTGATTGTCAGAGCTGGACAGAGCGGTGATTGCATGTACTTCATAGCAACTGGTACAGTTGCCATTTACACTGACTCCGGCAGGGAGATATGTCACCTCGAGGATGGCGCGCATTTCGGTGAAATAGCATTAGTCATGGCTGATGAGAGACGAGTGGCTAATGTCATTGCCGTGGAAACATGCGAGTTGTATAGACTAGAGAGAGCCGACTTCATCAAGACAATTCATCCTTATCCAATGCTGTGGGACAGAATAAAGAAAATAGCGATGGAGAGGCACGAGAAGACAATGATACTGGATACCCATTGAGGGGAATTGGTGTCCCGCCCATTTAGTTGAAACAATGGTCTCGCTTTGCGCATCGACGCATGGGCAGAGAGGGTTGGACCATTGTAATGGGTTTGTGCGATGCGCCTGTCTGGTAGCAGCTGAACCATTCTCTCGTTGTGCGCCAGTGCCTGGAGGCTATCCATTGTTATCAGCTGTACTGTGCGGGCTCCTCCTGGATAGGGAGCGCCATTATTGAGTGTGCCGCTGTCTCCGTAGCCACACCCCCGAGACACCTGTATCTTCTGTACTTCCTATGCTCCAAGGTCTACCAATCATCAATAAAGATCGTTCAAAGACCCGATAACTCGTTCTTTTCTCCTGATCATTATCGTCTAGTTGATGAGTCATCAATTAGGCGAAAGGGCCAGATAATTCTGGTGATAATCACCCAAGATCTCCTGGAATGAAGCTGTCTGACTGCTGTAGCCATTGTCTGCGATGACCTATGACTGTGTTAGTTATGAAATTTCGGTTTGGATGATCTTCTTTCTACATTACGAGACCGTGGAGTGCGCTGCGCGCACTGTGACGAATTCGTATTTAAATTTCCCGGGTGAGAACTAACCAAGTTCATGCCTATGCGATTAACCAATGAGGAATCAGTCTTACGAATTTCGAGATATTTCGACTCTAACGATGTTCATTTATGTGTATGACCTTTCATAAATAGGAAAGAAAAGAATTTATGTAGCGTTCCACATCTTTGTGACGTCATAGGAAATGATTGGATGGGATTTGGATGAGGGGAATCAGGATTATTCTCAATGTGAATAACCAGAAAATTTTTACTGAAAAAAATGGAGAGTCCAGACCGGGATTTGAACCCGGGACCTTCCGATTATGCATCGGGTGCTCTTCCCAACTGAGTTATCCGGCTCCTAGCCATTTTAAATTTCTGGTACATATTGAGCTCCGCCGTCCTTACGGCATTCATTTTTTACATTAAATAATTCATTCATCCACTCGTCCAATGTGGATTGTTCCGTATCGAAGACTAGGGACACTTGGTCTCGACCCGGGGAGCTGTGATAGCTTCTCCGCCGGCCCTGGCAGGAGCCTTTGCTTCTCCTCCATGCACACGCGCCCGGTCGATACTCTGCGGGCTACCAGCAAAAGCCTCCCCTTCTCGCTCAAACACAAACCCCTTTCGCCCTTCTTCCACATACATTTACCTCTGCAGCCCTCGTCTCTCACCCCCTCGGTGGCCCCTTCCACCTCGCGTTCCTGCATATGGGCACCCCTGGGCGCATCCCCCCACCCCCTTGCAGCCGACAATTTGTTGTCTCTCTCCCGCAGTCAATCCTTTCGGCCGTTATGGGAAGTTGTGCATGTAGGTGGCCCAGTTGATTGATCATTTATCGATAGAGTAACCAGTTTGACTTTTTTTCCAGGGATTTTTCTGCGCTTGTTTGCGGAGGCAATTCCTGGATATGGATGGGCTGAGGGGAGGGGACTCGCTGTCGCGTCAAACATGGAGGATAACGGCGGCATCGATGGGCCATTATTTCATTGCCCGGAAAAAACTCTCCTTTCGACTTCCGCCTCTTCTTTCAATCTATAGTCGTTATACAATCATCCCCCTCGTGGCAACGTCAACGATACTCATCGATACTGGTTTCCGTTTACCATTCAGCGCTGGAGTTAAACTGCCTGCACGTACTTCCGGACCTGTACATCATTTTTTGCCAGGGGCTTTTTGCGGGACTGCGATGGGGTAAGTTTTTTTGTTTTCATGGGGAATATCGAAGGGAATTGCGTTTTGATGACCTAAAATTGAGGAGAATGTTTGATTCATCGAGGGCAATCGAAGGCTGGAAAAAGGGAGGCTGTAGGTGCTCATTGGGCATTTAAGTTTTGGCGCGAAATGCAAATTTTCGGGATTTTAAAATGATTTATTTGACCTATCCCAAAAAATAAGTTTTTATTGACTATCTGAAATGGATTAGAGTTGGTGAAACATTGGGACCACGTTTTTTTGTTGGAGGCATGTTGCATTTTTATGGAATTCGAATGGGATGGAGTGGAATTCAAGGAAAAGTGAGGTTATAATCCCTCATTGGTCACATTATTTTTAGCGCGAAATTCAAATTTGCATTATTTTAAAATTATTTACTAGTCCTATTCCAAGAAAATGACAAGTTTTTATTGGTTATCTCAGATGGACTTCAATTATTGAAACATTTGGGCCACAATTTTTTATTCTACGCAGTCTACTGATAATTTTTTAATTATTAAGAAATCCGAATGGAATGGGATCAAATTCTAGAAAATGTAAGGTTATAATCGCTCATTGATCACATTATTTTTAGCGCGAAATATCTTTTTCATCACGCTGTGACGAAAAGTGAATTTTTCGGCACGCTCCGCGTGCCTAAAAGTCCAATTTCGGCCACATTGTGATAAAAAATATTCTTCGTAACTCGTGAAAAAATGTTTTTTTGCACTCGTTACGAAATATACTATTTATTAATCACCAAATTTTCGGCGCTAAATTTGAATTCACTTGACCCAAAAATCATTACGTCGTCTATCGCCCTAACTTCGTGGAATCTCGCGTTATTCCTGTAATTTTTTTAATCCTTGGTCTTCGATCACGGATGGAAGCGTTTATGAGGCAGTGTCAACAGCAGTGGTTAATGATGTGGGGTTGGAGGCGGGCGTCGCCCTGCATCATCCCGTCACGCCACATTGAGCATCATTGTGCGCCGGTAAAGTCGTCATTTTATCGCTCGGAGAATTGTGTGCGTGTGGGCATGCGGACGTGATATCCCTCGGCCGCTCTCTCGATTTTCGCTTTTTATTATTTCACCGCGTGAAAAAGTGACCGCTTCCGGTTCGTCCGCGGGGTGGGGGAATACATTAGGGGGTCGCGGGGACGTTATTGATGGGGAAATTGGGGTCAGGGTCGGGGGCGGGGGATATCGATCTAGGATCTTCGATATTATGGTCTTGAAAAAAAAAAATCATTGTTCGGAAAGGACTGGAGCAAAACGCGTCACTTATTTTTATCTTTAATTTTCTAATTATTGTGATGTTTTGAGATTTATGGTAACTGAAGCGTCATAAAGTGCAGACATTCGCTGACATTTTTCTCATAAAATATTTTGTTGGTTGAGATATGGCATGCTCCACGCGCCGACTAACGAGGGTAGATGGTTTTTCTGCAATTCACCCTGCGCTACTCTCGATTATCTCTGCACCGTTAAGGCATTCATCGGTGGGTACACGTTGGGTGCTAAACGGTACCCCTGATGCAATATCACCGAAGGATGATTTGCACAAAGCAGTGAGTTGAGTTGATAAAAATTAAAAAGGGTCTTATCAGGCGTTTCTATAAAACAGTAACCGTCGACATAATCGCCACGAGCGTGACGAATATTTCTTTGTAAACGAGTCGAAGTTGGGTTCGCCGGTGTTGGCCGAGAAAAGTTTGATTAGTTTGAGGAGCATTTTCTTCAACTCCTTCTGCTGGCGCGTTTGTTTTCACAGCATTAATTACTTTTAGTTGAGCTGAGGGGGCTCAATGGCCTTTTGTGAAAGACTTGGGTAAATTTGACGTGCAAAGTTTTGTGACGGCTGAAATATTTCTAGTGGTGAAAGTCATGCATCACGATGGGGTAAATTGTGAATGAATAATTATCCCGGATAATTAACTGTTGGGGTAATTGTATGTGAATGGGGTAATTTCTTGTTTTATTTTTTTCGTTGACATCTTTCACTAATCGTGAATTATTCTAGTTTGGAGAAGCATTATATTGATCGTATTTTTGGGGTAAAAAAATTTGAAATTTGTTATTTCACTGGAAAATAATAAATTAATTTTATTTTAATTTTTTTTTGTGAATTTGTTATTTTCAACAGTTTTAAAAAACATTCCTCTCAAATCATGTATTATTATGTCGTTTTGGTTAATCAATCTATTGATCATATTTTCGAGTAAAAAAATAATTAAATTCCAATCGAAACGTGAATATTCAGCATAAAATTATGCTAAAGTTTAAATTAATTAAAAACTCGAGGATGTATTGAGTCGAATTTGATTTTCGTGGAATAATTCAACTGAAATTTCCAATTTCCATTGATTATTGCAAAATTGCATATTGCAATTTTCTCTGGGGGCCCCTCAATTTCTCAACAATGAAAAAAGTCGTGTTCTAAATAGAGTATTATTTTTCATCTCCCCGTGCATCCACCGAAAAAAAAACCCCTGTACATTCACTCGGAATGCATAAGTATGTAAAACGAAGTGCGAGAGGGGAGGATTGAGGTGCGCGGGGACGAATGCGACCACCCGGCGTGCCAGGTATCTGAATTAATTATTTGTTTTAATATAAAATCCGCGGGGTGTGATTTAGTTGGGCCCGCCACGGGGGCAAGTGGCCGACCGAGCGCATAAACCAGTCGACGTCGTGTTGTTTTCCAAAGGGAGGAGATGTATGTGTAAAGCCAGGGTAACAAGTTACCTTATATACCCATATATGCGTATGTAGAGGTAATTGTCCATCCCTCTTGGGCCTGAACTGGGTGCGTGTGCGTCAAAAAAACGCGAGAGACCGCGTGCGGCACGCCGCGCCTCACAAAAGGGCAAAAATTGAAGAAACAAGAAGGAAAAATAACAAATAAAAGAATAAAGAGATTGAAAAAAAATGGGGAAAAAAAGCGATGCACGGGGAGAGAGAGAAAAAGGAGGAGGACACAATATCCGGCGGTTTGCGTGCTTGAAAATTGCGCCGACTCTCCCAGCGGGTGCATTCTCGCGTCTTCTCCAAGTGCTCTTCGTGCATGTCCCAGCCACCCAAAAAACGCATCTCCTGAAAATTCAAGAGCCCCAACGTCCCGCTGAGAAACGACTGAAATTTTTACAGTTAATAAGTATGTATTATTTAGTCATTAATTATCTTTGTTAGTTGGGTGGAAAAACTGGGGATTGAGGGGGTCCTAATTTGGGATATTAATGTCTTATTCAAGAATCGAGGGAA